TTAAGAAATGCCAGCAGGTACGTGACCCAGTCTGCCTTTGGGGTTGGGAGGGTCATCTTCTAACTGTGCCTTCGATCACTGTGGGCCTCTGCAAGCTCCTCTCAAAAAGGAGGGTCCAGGGCTGGCCGGTTAGCTCAGTTGGTTAGAGCATAGCCTTATAACACCAAGATCAAGAGTTTGGATCCCCATACAAGTCAGCCACCAGAAAAAAAAAAAAAAAAGGAGAGTCCGAAGACCATGAGGGAGGCCAGATGTGATGGTGGCCTCTATTGAGAGGCTGCTTCCCTGTGCCTTGGGCAGCCTGACCCTGAGAAGGTGGCAGTGTGCACTTGCCAAGTCCTTCTCAGGACACCTTCACAGAGGGCCCGAGGTGAGGGATTGGCCCACTTGGGGGTTACAGAGATGATGGCTTCCTAGGCTAGAATACCTAATGCCTTGTAATAGGCCGATCCTTAAGTTTTTATTAAGTAGCTACTGTGTACAGGCACTTGGGAGAACAATGGCCCAAACCAGGTCCCTGCTCTGTTGCAGCTCTGGTTTCAGTTCAGGCAGACAGGCCTGGAGGGGAGGGCAAACCTCTCTCTAGAAAAAACCCACAAGTGCATCCTCTGAGCCTACAGTTAGGACGCGGTCAGGGAGCTTTGCGGTGGGTGAGGATGGCTGGCTCCCCCTGGGGTTAGCAGTGTGACTGCTGGACAAGGGCCCAGTTTATTCCTTTATTCCTGCTCTGTGCCAGGCCCTGGGCTGGGATCTGCAGAGTCCCCAGGGCTTGATCACACATGGGCTGGGAGCCTCCCAGAAGGGACCCTCCTCCTGGGGAGCCTGCCTAGCTCCAAGTGCAGGGTGGCGGTGGGGACAACTCACTCTGCACTGGGGGGTGTGCATGGGGCTGTCGAAATGTTTCGGCGTTGGCCCAGGGAGTGGAAGAACTGGCTTTGTTATCTGGAAATGGTGCGGCAGGGGAGGGCGGGAGGGACTCAGGGAGGGGTGCAGCTCAGTGGTGGGACCAGGACCAGCAGAGCGGGTGGTGGCTGCATGGCTCGACCTTGTCTGCTGGGGACATGTTGGGAGGGAACTCAGCCTTCAGGCCTTTGACTTATTCTTTGAGCCAGTGGATTGTTTTAAAAAACATCTCCAGGCCGGTTAGCGCATGGTGCTGATAACACCAAGGTCAAGGGTTTGGATTCCCTTACCCACCAGTCCCCCCAAAATCAAGCAAACAAACAAATCTCCAGCACTTGAGCATGTACAGGGCTGCATGGCCCCAGTAGCTAGCTCTCTGCCTGCCCTGGCCTTACCCGCCTCTGTAAGCTTGGGGTGGGCTGGGGCAGGCTGGGAGGAGTGAGGTGAAGTCGGAAGTTGGGGAAAAGGAAGTTTTGTAGGGCCAGGTGGCTCCTGGTGAAGACTTTGACTTTTACTGCCAGTGAGGTGGGAGCCACGGAGGGTTCCAAGCAGAGGAGGGGCTAGGTCTGGCTTTAGGAGAGTCAGTGCTGTGGAGGGTGAGCGGACCCGGTGAAAGCGTTTTAACCTTGGTATTGACCCTGCAATCTAGCATACGCTTCCAAAGTGACGAGGAGCTCAAGAGGGAAAGGCTGACCTAGTGAGCTCTTCGGCCTTCTTCTTGGGCACAGAGGGGTGTGGGGTCTGCTGCCCACTGATCCACTAGGGAAGAAGCCCTGTCTTTCCAGCACCTTCTTTACATCTTTCACCCACTTGAAGGGGTTGGCAGGCAGCAACAAAGGGATCTACGAGGGGAGATAACAAAGAATAGGTCACTCACTTTCCCTGGTTCCCTGCCACTTCCCAGGCTGTGTGTGACACCTGGGAAGGGTGTGAGGTCCAGACCCCAGCCTGTGGCTCTGGCTGCCTGGTTTTGGCCCCACTGCATACCCACACTGGACCAGCATGTGATCTTGGGCCAGGCAGGTGGTCCTGTCTGGGCCTCAGTTTCTTCATTGTTGACTGGAGCATTTCCCAGTCCCTGCCTTCGAGGCTGGTGTGTGGATTCAGAGGGATCTTTTCCAGCCCTGACGCCAAGGGCTGGTTCAGGGGGTTCATAAATGCCTCCCAAAAGACTAGGTAGGCCATGCCTTCATTTGCTAAACTAACATGCATGAGTGTGCCCCTGGGAAACAGCAGTGACCAAGGCAGGCGAGCATCCCTGCCCTGGTGGTGCTGACATTCAGGGGTGCGAGTGGCATGCACAGACAAAAGACAAATATATTAGTGACACTCACCCTACGTCAGATGGTAATAAGTGCTGAGGGGAGAAGTAAGGCAAGAAGAGCAGTTGTGGGCAGGGGGACGTTCACTTCAAGACTGCAGGAAGTGGTGGGGATGCCGTGTGACTTTGAGAGTGGCTTGCCCTCTTTAGGCTCCCTCCTGTGCAAGTTTGGGGAATGATGGAGCCCTCTGTTCCTGGTGCTCTCCTTGCCATTTCTCACCTTGGGGCCCTCTGCCCACCTTCTGCTCATGTGGTAGCAGCGCTGGCTGCTGCTCCTGCTGTGCAGGTATGTTGGTTCATCGAGTCCTCATACAGGCCCTGTTGTGATGCCCATTTTATACATCAGGAGACTGAGACCTGGGTGGGCCCTCTGCCTATAGACTGAGCTCATAACCACCCACAGCATGCTGCCAGTGCATGCCGAGCTCTGGGGTGCTGCAGCAGGCAGGTCCTGGCCCATTAATAGGACCAGAGTGACTTGGCTATGATGGGAGAGGAAGCCAAGATGCAGGACTCAGGGAAGGCTGCCTGGAAGAGGTGGTAGACAGGAAGGCCCTGGAGGAGAAGGACGAAGTGGGGCTGGGCCTTCCAGACACCAGGCCTGGCAGGGCAGAGGCATGTAAGGACAAAGGCCCATGTTCTGGCCTGCGTCTCCTCTCCCATCCCATGTTTCCTGAACTCCTTGAAGGGGGATGGTCTGTCTCAGGGACTCAGCCTGGGGCCTGGAGCCGGAAGAGAACTCTAAGGTTTGCTGTGGGGGGTTGGGGGACTGTTCCATTTTTAGTGGCTGCTGCAGGAAGAGCAGCTGAGTGTTTCTGCTTGTCCTTGTGAAGGGCCAGAGCATGACTGTCCTTGGTAACTTCATCAGCTGATAACAAGAGTAGGGTTGGGTGGGAGTAGGGATCCTGGATCCTCCAACCCACATCGTTACCCCCTGCTGCCTGGTAGCCAGTACCTGTGCTGAATGCAGTTCGTAGATCCAAGCCCATCGAGTCTCCCTGACTCTGTAGCAGAAGTTCAGATAGGTGAAGATCCTTCTGGTGGCCTCACAAAGGCTATCTGGCTTGAGAGCCACTATCTGGAGCCAGAGTATCTAAGTTCCAAATCCCAGCTCCATCACTGAGTTTGGGCTGAATCACTGTACCTCTTGGATCTGTTTCTTCATCTTTGAAATGGGGATCATGGAGATGCCTACCTGCTAAAGGGACCTGTGAGGAACAGATGGGACCACAAGCAGGGCCTGGCCAGAGTGAGCAAAAGCTGGACTTTGGCCATAGTTTGTTAGATTATGGTGACAGGCTGGTGAACCTCCTTGCACTCTGTTCTTTCTGCCTCGTTATGCCAGTGGGTAGAAATTTGAGGCTTGTCCAGGCTTTCTTCATCTCAGGGGTGCATCTCCATCCTTGCATTTGAGGCAGCTTTATGGGATGGCTATGCTATTTTTGTAGTCAGGTCTCCTCCTGGTGGACGTCAGGGCTATTTCCAGTTTTTTACTCCTAGCAACATCGCAGTGGTGCACATCTTTGCATCTTAGTGGTGAGCCAGTTCTCTGGATTTATTCCCCCTTTCCTTTTAGCATCCCTACAGGAGCTGTGATCCTGAGCCTTGAGGGGCCCTCCTCCATAATATTTTACTGTGAAAAGTCAAACCTCTGGAAAAATTGAGGAATTATATCATGAGTGTCTGTGCATTCAGCACCTGCGTTCCATGATGGACATGTTTTACATTTGCTTTGTCCCATATCTGTCCTTTGGGACTGGATCCCTAGCTTGGTGGTAGGACTTGCACTACCTTGTTAGTCACCTGCTTGTTCCCCTTCATCTCAGTTTCGATGCAACTTTCAGACACCCCTGGGCATCCACTCGAGATCATGCCCAGAAAGTAGTTCTCTTCAGGGGTTCGTGTCTAGGTAGGGGTCCCCCTTGAACAGCCAGGAGGGGAAGGAGGGACAGCAAGATGGGCTTCGGTGAGGCCAGCAGGGGCACCCCGTTCCCCACACCTTGCAGGTGCATTGGGGAAAAATGACAAATGACTCCCATGGACACGTACCTGGAGATCTTCTGGAGCTGGAATGTGCTTGTGGCTCATGGTCCCAATAGGACAGTGACTTCTGTCTCCTTTGACTGTGACCCACAGCCAGGGAGTTTTACGTTATTGCCCAAGACTCAGTCTCATGTAAACACCCAAGCAGAAGTTTCATCAAATGTACTTACCCTCTCTCTAGGTGACACATTCAGTATTTCCTCTTCTAGTCTGCTCTCAAAAAAAAAAAAAAAAAAAGAACAATGAACACACTGGTCACACCCACCCATTGTTTTTTTTGTTTGTTTGTTTTGGTCTCATCTTATGTCATCTTATGACATACAGTTTGCAAGATGCTGGATGAGATTGTCTGTTCCAAAGGGACAGTCTTTGCCAGTATTGTTCCTGGTGGAATCTGTGAGGTCTGGAAGGGGGCTTGGTCTATAGGAGCCTGCCGTGGATTGATTGAATTGTGTCCCAAAGTTCACATTAGAAGCTTAATTCCCACTGTAACTGTTGAGGGTGGGAAATCCTATGAAGGTGATTGAAAGTGGTGCCTTGAAGAGGTGATTAGATTGTAGGACCGTGCCGCAATACATGTCATGAGTATGTCTTGCTCCCCACTTTCCTGAAGTGACTGTGATTAATTCTTTACTTTCTTTGCTTGACAAAGTGCTTGTCTCAGAAATCCATCTGCTCCCCACCACAGTGGGACCTCTTTGTCTAATTTTGAGCATCTTTCTTCCCTTTCTAGAATATGCTGAGTTTTTGCACTGCAAGTCCAAAAAGTTTACAGACTTTGATGAAGTCCGGCAGGAGATCGAAGCAGAGACCGACAGGGTCACGGGGACCAACAAAGGCATCTCCCCAATGCCCATCAACCTGCGGGTCTACTCGCCACACGGTAGGCAGCACTGGCCGGGACCGTTTGTCATGGGTAGGATCTGCTCAATCTGCTCAGTCACAAAGAAAACACTACCTCCCAGTTTTCCTTACTTACACACGCACGCACGCACACACACACACACTCTTTCTCTCTCTCTCTCTCTCTCCTTTTGATCCATATCATCCCACTTTTGATAGGTACATGGTAAGGAGAAATCGATCTCAGCTCTAAGAGAAACCCAGCATGCCAGGAAGACTCTTAGCAGTGGTGGGGACTGGCCAAATTGCACCATGTGCCCCCCTCCCTTTTTTTGTCCTATATATAATTTTAAAAAAAAATTTTAAATTTATCAATATACAATGTAATTGATTTTCATGTCCTTTTACCAATTCCTCCTTTTCTCACCTCCCTCTCCTCCCTTCCCTCCACATCAACATCATATCTGTTCACTTATCTTAACAAGTTTAAGGAATTGTTGTGATTATTGTGCTTTCCCCCTCCCTCTCCCCCCTCCATTTATTTGTTTGTATATTTATTTATTTTATTAGCTCCCACATATAAGTGAGAACATATGGTATTTCTTTTTCCGAGCCTGGCTTATTTCACTTAGTATAATTTTCTCTAAGTCCTTCCATGTTCTGCGAATGGTAGTATTTCACGTGCCCCTTTTCAAAAGGGCAGCTGCTGCTTGACTCAGGTCTGCTGGTTCCCCAAGAGGAGCCAGAAACCAGACTTCTCTGCAAAATGTCCTGATTTTTAAAATCTGCATTCAAACAGAAGCATGTGGCCATATACAGCCTCTGGCCCAGAGGGATGGATTGTTACCTTAGACAGCATTTGGGGAATATTCCAACATACTCTACCTCTTCAGGATGGTTTCCTTGTGATCAGTTTTAAAGTTGATTTATTTTTTAATAAATGATGCCTGCACATGGCTTAGAATTCAAAAATTACAAATGGGTATACAGCAAAAACTCACTGAGCCTCCAATATTACAATTATATTTCATGTTCTGCAAATGATATCTAAGAAATTATGAATATATATGTACATAAATCGTGTATGCATGTATCACCACTTTTACTCAGATGGTAGCATAACATAAAAGTCGTTTATGCCTCTTTTATTGTATGAGTGCATCTCAGAGTGTTTCTTATCACAATATCATCTTTCCTTGGTGTTGGCTGAATGGATGGGCTGAAATTTATTTAGCCATTTAGATCAACTCCAATCTGCCAGTGCAGATGTCCTGATTTAGAAGTGTGTCATTGTAATAGAGGAGGTAGAGGATGTCTTTGGGATGGGATCCCAGAAGGGGAGTAATCAGGTCAGAGGTGTGGTATAGAGAGAGTGTCAGGAGACATCCTGAGATCTCACCCCTCAAGAATTTGGGAAAGTCGGCAGCGTGTCTGCAGGGCTGCATGTGCCTCCTGTCCCCTCGACTCTGACCACCTTTACCTCTGGTTTCCCTCCCAGTGTTGAACTTGACTCTCATTGACCTCCCGGGCATCACCAAGGTGCCCGTGGGGGACCAGCCCGCAGACATCGAGTACCAGATCAAGGATATGATCCTGCAGTTCATCAGCCGAGAGAGCAGCCTGATCCTCGCCGTCACCCCTGCCAACATGGACTTGGCCAATTCGGATGCCCTAAAGCTGGCCAAGGAGGTCGATCCCCAAGGTGACCACCAAGCCTCATGGCAAAAGTTCCTTCTTCCTGGTGCCTCTGGGCCCTGAGACTTTCCCAACATCCTTCATTCCAAGTCATTGGTTTTCTCTTTGGCACACAGCTGCTTTAGGAAAAGAACTCCTGGGACACAGCATTTCCCACAAGAGCTGGCAGTGCTGGTGGGCATCCCCCAGGAGGCCATTGTGTGGCAGTTAGATTTTCCTCCCCCAACGTGATGGTGCCCACTTTGCCAGAGCAGGAAATTAGTCTAGGGGAACGGAAGAGCCCCGCCCTCACAGGGCTCAGATACGAGTCCAAATCTCAACTCTAGAAGTAATTTACTGTCCCTGAGGCTTGGTCTGCCCTCTCTTAAATGGGAACATTAATCCCGACCTGTTGAGCTATTGTGAGGACTGAAGCTAATCTTTGTAATCTGATTAGGGCCAGGCAGGTAAAGTAAAAGAGTGACAGATTACAGAAGCAAGTTGGGGGCAATAGGAAATAGTGCGGACTGCGGCATCCCTGGCCACGGGCGTTCAGAGTCAAACTTTCCAGGTGGCCATTTATTCAGTAAAAGTTAAGCACTTGCTGCCCGCGAGGCTCTGTTTTGGCTTAAGGAATCCAGCAGGAGACAAAATCAACAGGCTGCCAGGGAGCAAATATTCCAGTGGGGGAAACAAAATACAACCAGCAAGTCAGCAAGTGAGATGATTTCAGGAAGCAGTAAGCTTTGGGGAGTAAAGAGAGCCCTTTGAGAGTGGCTAGAGTTGGATGGTCAGGGGCCTCTGAAGAAGTGAGGCTTGAGGCAAGACCAAAATGATAAAAAGAGGCAAAACCCAGGAAAATGGACAGTGGGTGCTAATAGCATGGGGGTCATTGAAGTATGGGGTGCTCAGGACACAGCGAGGAGGCCCATGTGGCCAGAACACAGCACTGAAGGGAGGGCAGAAGGGGCGGGCCAGTCACGCATACCACGTGGGCTGCTGCAGGTGGTTGGGATTTATTCTGAGCATGTTGGGAGTTTTTAGGCAGGTATGACACAAATGGAAATACATTTTGTAAAATGTCCTCTGACTGTCAGGATTCCAGAGTGATGGCTGCTGATGGCCCTGTCCTGCATGGACCGTGAGCTTCTCAAAGTCCAGGGCTGTGCACTGAGCTGCTTTGTGTCATTGGTGAACAGGCTGGGCCAGTTCCTCCCCAGGATCTTCTAGGCACGCTTTCCCAGGAGGGGCTGCCCCAGCCTCCAGGGGCCCTGTTCCTACAGCTCCCCACAGCCTCTCAGTCAACCCCAGTCATGTCCTCTGAAACGGGGCGTGACCTTGACAAAGACTCATCAGAGGCTTGATCAGGCGGTGCGAAAATGGGAATCAGTACAGTGAAGCACCTTTTGTGACCATGATGCTGGCCGTCTTTAAAAGTTTTTTTTTCTGCCTTTGAAATTATTCACGATTATTACCCCAAAAAGAGTCAACCACTGAAAAATATAGAACTCCAAAGTGACAGCCCTCCTTCCCCTGCAGAGATGCTGGTGGCCATACTTGGTCAAGGTTCTTCCAGAGTTGTTCTTACATGTAAAGTCACATTTTTAAAAATGGGGTGTGCTTTCCTAATTTTTTTGTCATGTATGTGTGTGTATGTCCCTGTCCTATACCATAGTGACAGCGTAAGTCATCCCTTGTGAGGGCTATGTGGCCCTTCACGTACCACCCATGATTTACTCACCCAGTCCTTTGTTCTTGGACATGTGGGTTGTTTCTGGTCTTTCATGAACAGTGCTGCAGGGAGATCAGCCATCCCCATCAGAGTTGATGCCCCCAGGAACCCTCCCTGGTCGCATTCCTCTACCTCACTTGGCTTCTCCCCTTCTGTGCTTGGGCATGGGCTTGGTGGATATCCACAGATCGCAAAGGTGGTACCAGTTCATACTCTCACTGCAGAATGTGGGCGGGGAGGGGTCCCATGGAGGGCAGGGCTGTAACTCCTGCAATGCCCAGGTTGGCATCTGCCAGCAATCTCCCCTGGGCTTCCATCTGTCCCCTCTGTGTCACATACATGTGACACGCACACATGCCATGTGACACACACGGCAGGCACAGGCCAGCCCTCAGGCCCCAGCAGGGGCAGTAGATCTGCAGGCGTGAGGCTTTGCTATGAGGATATCCTTGATTCCGGAGGACTTAGGGAGAGGAGGAATTCGATGGGGTGGTTTACAGAGTGGAATTGTAGCCGCGCAGGTAAGAGGTAGCCCTGGTAACAGTTGCTGCAGGTTTACATGTTAGGTTAGGACTTTGCCCAGAACTCATATAGTACAACATTGAAACTATGACCCGGGACTGGTGTTTCCATGAGGTTTCCCTCAGACCGTGCAGCAGCAGATGCTGTCACTGACGGTATGAGTGACAATGATGGTGGCCAACATTGATTGTTTGAGCATTGCCACCTGCCAGGCTCATCCTCACAGACGACCCTCTGAGATTGGGGCTGTTACTGTCTTCATGTGACACGCGGGAAACTGGGCTCCAGGCAGGCGCCATTATGGCTTGTCCCAGGTTGCTTGACCTGGCAGTGTCGGGGTCTGGAGCCACCAACCAATACTCTTTCTCATGGTGCCATCTGACTTCTGGGCTCTTTCAGGTTTGCGGACTATCGGCGTCATCACCAAACTCGACCTGATGGATGAAGGCACCGATGCCAGGGACATCCTGGAGAATAAGTTGCTCCCACTGAGAAGAGGTGTGGCTGGGGGGAGAGAGGAGGAGGGCGACCCAGGGCAGGGAGCCAGTAGCTGAGGGGCCACAGGGTGCTGGTGGGGAGACCTGGAGCTTGCCTGCTTTTTAAAAACAGTATTTGTCATTGTCATTGTCATTACTAAAACCTTGGCAGGTGCACAAGACACAAGGGAGGTACACACAGGCACCTGCACTGTTACCTGTTTCCCAGCTGCCTGGAAGTAACTGCTTTTACATTTCCTTATAAACCCTTCTGACTTTGTTTTTCTTTGAACATATGCATCTTTTTGTTGCGATTCGTTTGTATTCATTTTTCAGTTACACGGCTAACACCTGCTCGTTTCTGGAACACACCCACAGCCCCCCTACTTCCCCTATATAGCCACTAGATAATTCTTTGTGGCTCTCCTTCCCAACAGTCCCCAGGATTTGAAACTTTTTTTTTTTTTTTTTTGTCTTTTTCCGTGTCCGGCAACGGGATCGCAACCCTCGGTGTTGCTCCCGTGCCTCGCTCAGCCAGTGAGCGGGAACCGGTCTGTATGTGGGATCCGAACCCTCGGGCTGGAGCGCCGCCACGCTTCCCAAGTGGCGCACTATGCAGTGCGCCACCGGGCCGGCCCAGGATTTGAAACTTTTATTCTTTTTTTTCTTATTACTTTCTATTATGAACAGTTTCAGACATTCTCAAAAGTAGAAAGAAAAGTTCAGAGAGCCTCTGTGGACCTGTTACCCAGCTTCAGAGGCTGTCAGTGTACAGATGATAACAAATCTCAGGCGTGGCCCCGCCCACTATTGTTATTTTCTTCCTGGGGTATTTTAAAGTAAGTCATAGGCACGTGTCATTTTATACAAAGATACCTACCTTTCTTTTCAAACAGGTCTCCTTCCCATCCTCTTTGTTCTTTCTCTACCACTTACTTGTGGAAGAAACCAGATCCACATTGGCCAATTACCAACGTAAACTGGTTATTAGATCTAGATGGAGGCCTGATTAGTTTCAGGGACAAGTTCGAGTGCAGGTCTGATAGGAGTAGCCTGAGTAGCTTTACTTATTTTATTTGAAAAACATTTTTAAGACTTTATTTTTTTAGAGTAGCAGTTTTAGGTTCACCGCCAAACTGAGAGGAAGGTACAGAGATTTCCTATATACCCTCTGTCCCCACACACGCACAGCCTCCCCCAGTGTCAATATCCCCCCCAAGTGACAGTTTGTCACAATTTGTTACAATCAATTAACCTCCTTTGTCCAAAGTATGTGAAGTAGTTTACCTTAGGGTTAACTCATGGTGTTATACTTTTATTCTCAAAACATGAGAAAAGCAAACATTTATTGAGTGCCTGTTATGTACCAGGCACTGTTCGAGGCTCTTGACATGTATGAACCCATGTAATCCTGATAACAGTCCAACGAGGTGGCTATGTTCTCATCCCCATTTTAGGGATGAAGACACTGAGGCATGGGGAGGCTAAATCCCTTGCCCTAGCTCTCAGAGCTACAAAGTAGCAAAACCGGTTTTGAGCCACATGTCTCCAGCTTTGTGACCTGCTTTGTGACCATGACAGGTAAATGTTATTCGAGATGACTTCAGAAGGTCCTGTGGAATGCCTTGTATGGGGGCACATAGGCCATCACTTGATCCCCATCTGTTGGACACTTAGGCTGTTTCCTGTTGGTCACTGTGACGCAGTGTTAAATATACATTCAGGTTTTTATTTATTTATTTTTAATTCCGTCGCTCTGGCATCTGCTCTCAGCTGTGGGCACTTTCTGGCCTTCACGCTTTGCCAGCTTCACTTAGACCTTTTCTTTTGCTCCTGGGGCTCCTGCCTCGATGTCTGGAGTAGTCAGGGGGAAAACATTCAGACTGTGGTTGCCACCTTCCCCCAACTGCTGAGACATGGAGTGGTGAGGTAGCCCTGGATTACATGGGAGCATGGTCAGGGCAAAATCCAAAAACCCATTTGGCTGCAGGGATCAGGGGCAGAGACGGGAGTCTGTGGCCAGTTGAGGTTTAGGGAGGAAGTGGCAGTGCCGAACAGGAAGCAGACCCACCAGTCCCGCTCCCTCTGTCAGCCCCCAACACACTCTGGGCCTCCAGCTTAGACATCCAGGGCACTGGGGTCTGCGGGGCTAGCTGGGCTGAGAATCCAATGGCATGCTCTCCTCTGCCTCCTGCCTCCTGACTAACCGATGTCCATGTCGCCCCTCTGCCTTCCTTCCTTCCTGTTTCCAAGAACTACTGCGCTTCCTCCTCCTGCTCCCTTGTGGGCCTGCTCTTGTGACCCTGGGCTCTCGCTCCTCAATGCCACGTGGCTTCAGCATCCCTCCCACTGGATCCTTTTCCTGGCTTGCAAAAGACTTAGAACTCCTGCCTTTAAAGGAATCAAAACCCAAGCTAGTTGCCTCTCTCTGCCCCCTGCTGTTTCCATCTACACCCTGTAATATAGATGATAGTGAGTCTGGCTTCGCATGGATCTGGGTTCAGATCTCGGTTCTCCTGCTGTGACCTCACCGTGGCATGCCTCAGTTCCCTCATCTGTTAAATGGACACAGTGACAGATCTGGGGGGGATAAAAGCAATTGTGTCTATACAAGGCCCAGCAGGATAAAGGGCAGACACCCAAAGAAACATGGAGCATAAATATGTGTTACTACTTTGGGCCTTTTGCTGTCTATCCCCAATCTATCTTTCCAGGTTTAATTTTTTTAAGGGGTGGGTCAGGGTGGGGTGGGGGTGGGGGGAGTGCCATCTAGCCATATAGGAATAAAACCCTGGGCCTTGGGTTCGATTAGAACACCACACTCTAACCACCTGAGCTAACTAGCCAGCCCCTGAGTTTAATTATGTTAATAACAATGAATAAACAACCACATCTGTTTATTAAGGACCTACCATGCGTCCACCACTAGGCTAAGTTCTCCATTTCCCTTGATACCCATGCGTATGCCACCATTTTTGGGTGGCTTATGTCCATGTTCAAGGGCTACGGGCTGTTGTGAATTTTTGAAAGCTATCCCCCTGCCTTCTCCTCTCCCAGTTTCTTTATGTTCAAATATTGCAAATCTTTTCTTCAAAGTGGAATTTTTATTCTAAAAATTTCTTTTCATGGTTAGGAAATTCCAAAATGACACTGAAGGCTGTGTGTGGAGAAATCTGTCTCCCAACTCCCCCCTCTAAGTCCCAGTTCTCACATACTCACTGTTAACTTGTGTTTCATTCCAGAAAACTTTAATGCAAAGACAGTAATTTTTTATGATCACTCATGTTTTCTTCAAGTTCTTTTCTAGTTCTATGTTTTATGTGTAAACTTACAATGCCTCGAGATCACATTTTGGTAGGCATCCAACTTTGATTCTTTGCCAGTAGCGTCCATTGAACTGCCATCTGGACAGTACAGGGATCGAACCCTGGACCTTGGTGGTGTTATCAACACCATGCTCTAACCACCTGAGCTAACTAGCCAGTCCACCTTTTCTCTCACTGATTTTGAAGTGTTAACCTTCAGCTCCTGCCTCCTTCTGGGTGTATTTTTGGACTTTCTGTTATGTTCCGTTCATCTCTCTAGGCATGAATGTGCCATTACACCCAACTGTTTAAGGTATACTAACTGTAAAGTGGGTTTTGTTTGTTGGTTGGTTTTGGTAACTGGCTGGTATGGGGATCTGAACCCTTGACCTTGATGTTATAACGCCGTGTTCTAAACTACTGAGCTAACCGGCTGCCCTATAATGGGTTTTAATGTCTGTCAAGATTAGCTGTCCCGGGCCGGCCCGTGGCTCACTCGGTAGAGTGCGGTGCTGATAACACCAAGGCCCCGGGATCGGATCCCATATAGGGATGGCCGGTTCGCTCACTGGCTGAGCGTGGTGCTGACAACACCAAGTCAAGGGTTAAGATCCCCTTACCGGTCATCTTTTAAGAAAAAAAAAAAAAAAAAGATTAGCTGTCCCCACTTCCCATGTTTTTAAGATTTTTTTTCTTACCTGTCTCTGAAGCTCAGCTTGTAGACTTCATCCTCCCCAAATCTTTCTTCTATTGCCCCCTCCCTCATGCAAGCTAGATGTGAGCTCTCCTCCCTCCAAACACTTAACGATGTTTTTCAGCGTGGCTTTCTGCTGCATTTACATCCTCTGTGCTGTTTCAGAGTAACAAGTTATGACCCCATCTGTGAGTGACTCATGGGGCAGGACCCATCTCTGCACAGAAAAATTGCCTAGCCCCGTGCCAGGTCCACAGTGGGTGCCTGGGCACCTTGACCCACCTGGCACTGCCCATGCCCTGACTTGCTCTCCCTACAGGCTACATTGGCGTGGTGAACCGCAGTCAGAAGGACATCGAGGGTAAGAAGGACATCCGAGCAGCACTGGCAGCCGAGAGGAAGTTCTTTCTCTCCCACCCAGCCTACCGGCACATGGCTGACCGCATGGGCACCCCGCACCTGCAGAAGATCCTGAATCAGGTAGAGACTGTTATACAGGCTGTGCACTGCACAACAGCTGCCATCTATGAGCAGCATTTGTTTTAGCAAATGAGGTTCAATCCATATTTATTAATCACGTAATAAATGCATTTGTTCAGGGCCTGGTGAAGGATGGATATTCAATAAGTTAGCTGCTACTGTTATTTTTTAAAATTTTTTATTTTTTTCCTTTTTGTCTTTTTTACTGACCGGTAACGGGATCGCAACCCTCGGTGTCGCGCCCGTACCGGGGACCGGCAATGGGATCACAACCCTCGGTGTTGCTCCCGCACCGCGCTCAGCAGTGAGCGGGAACCGATCTCCACATGGGATCCGAACCCTCGGTGGGAGTACCACCGCGCTCCCAAGCGGCGCACTCTCCAGTGCGCCACCGGGCCGGCCCTAGCTGCTACTGTTATTAATATTGCTGTTATTATTACTATTATTTTAATTATCATTGTAATTATTTAGCATGTATTCAGAAGTTTGCATAGAGTTTGTGGTGTCAGTGACCTGATTAAGAACACATAGGCTGAACCAAGGCAGGGCGCCAGCAGCTCTGGACAGTAGCTGGGTGGGAGATCTCTGGAATCTGACCTTCGAGTGTCCAAGTCCAGCTCAGAGGCTATAGTGGGGCCCAGCCTTTCTGAGCCTCCCTCTCCTTATCCATCAATGGAGAATGACCACCATCCCTGCCCCCAGGGCTGTGTCTGGAGTCAGTGAGACTGTGTCTGTTCAGTGCATAGCACATACGCTGCATGATATACAGCAGTATGCAACACCAGCCATGCCAGTACTTGATTGTTTTGCTATTGTTCTTTTTTTATAGATTCACAGGGTGCATAAAACAAAACCAGTATCAAACGGTATACAATATTGCGCCCCCGTCTGTCCCCTCCCTTCTACCCAAGAGCACCACTGTGATTATCGTCCTTGCTCAGCCTGAGTTTCTTTCTGTCCACAAAAGCAGAACAGACTTTAAAAAGTCACACTTCTCCCTTTCTTATCATAAACAATGACAGTCACAAATCACCTTCCCACTTGATCTTTTCTGCTCAGCAGTATGTCCTGGAGCTCTGTCCCTACAGTAAAGAGCCCTCCCATGCTGCTTTTCTATGGTTGCGTCGTAGTCCCTGAACACATGGGCCCTGATCTATTTAACCAGTCTCTTTTGCAGGGCCCTTGGACCGTTTTCTAACCTTCCTAGTCAATAAAAGGCTGCAGTGAATACATGGGTTTGCATGCACGCTAAAATCCCCACTATGTCGCAACACTGTAGCAGGTAGTGCTGGTCCTTAGCTGCTTTCCTGCTTTGCTCGGCTGCGGTTACCTGGCTGGGGTTGTCCTCCCATTGTGCAAGACATTCCACCTAGTTGCTTTCTGGCAGCTTCCAGGATGATAGCAGGGCCTCAAAGTGAAATCTGATAGTCATTCTTTCATGCACACACTGGGGATACAGTGCAGTGAGATAGCAGGGCCCTGTCCTCAAGTAGAGTGTTTTTTGTTTGTTTGTTTGTTTTTTTAAAAGATGACGGGTAAGGGGATCTTAACCCTTGACTTGGTGTTGTCAGCACCAGCTCTCCCCAAGTGAGCCAGGGGCCGGCCCTAAGTAGGGTGTATATCTAATTGAGGAGGGGGAGGACAGATGCAAAAGAAGCCACCAGACAAATGCACTATCAAGCCTTAGGTAGGGATGGGGGCCAGGAAGAGAGCTAGCAGCAGACAGGACTTGCCCAGAGAAGGCAGCTCAGGAGAGTAAAGAGGAAGTAAGAGTCCCCTGGGAGGGGCCTCCAAGGGAAGGAAGCCAGGCTGGCCTGGGCAGGGGGAGGAGGAGAAGGAGGGAAGTAAAACCCACTGCGGGTGGCTGGGGCCTCCTTGGAGAGCCCACAGGTGAGCAGCCCAGCTGGCCTCTTGGGAGCCTGGAGGGGCTTGGTCCCCTTCAAGTTGGGCCACTTCCTGGGACAACGGTCCCCCGCTCCTCCATTTCCCCATGAGTTAAATGCTCCAGGATGTTGTGAGACCTGAGGGAAGGTCTGCAGAGCTCGCAGCATCGATCTCCGCCTCCGGAGACTTGTAGCTCTCACAGAGAGGGACTTGCAGGCTGGGCCGTGGGGGCTGGGGACCCTGCCATGGAGGACTTTGGGGTAGCCCAGAGAGTGTGAGGCTCATTCATGCCTCTTCTCTCGCTTGATGGATAGTTTATAAATTCTTTTCTATTGGAGGACAGATGGGAACCAAACTCAGCTTTTCACTTTTCGGGTATTAGCTGATTTGATCGCTATTGGTTTTTTCATTCATTTTTTTCGCCCTTTCTTTTGTAGTAGTTTTAAAAACATCAAACTGCCCAATTCTAGTGACTGTCCCATTTCCTCCCATCCTGTGATAGGCAGTCCCTTCCCCAGAGGTGGCCAGTGTCACCACTTCCCTGTGCTTCCTTCTAGTGACAGTCAAGGCCTGGAGAGGTGGACATGTTTTTATGACGCTCCCCTTCCCTCCCCCCTCCCTCCCTTCCCTTTCTCCTTTCTTTTTCCACCCTCCATGGTAATATCTTACCCACTCTAACGTATCTAGTTTTGTCTCTAACAACATGTCTTGAGGGTCATTCCCTGTCCTTTTATGCAGTGCTACCTCCTTTTAAAATTGGTGACAACAAACATTTCCCACAGTTCAAAGCAGAGCCGTAGAGTGAAAAGGGGGTGTGGTCTCCTTCCAGCCTGTCTGCTCCATTCTACCCTTACTTCTACATTTCTTCCTTTTGAATCTTTCCTCTCTCTGTTGATGCAAATACAAAGTACAACGGTTCTTCAAAAAGTTCATTGAAAGATTCACATTATTTTTTACACTATTTTATTTTGGCAGGGGCAGCTGGCTGGTACAGGGATTGAACCCTTGACCTTGGTGTTATAAGCACCATGTTCTAACCAACTGAGCTAACAAGCCAGCCCTATATTATCTTTTAATTCCATTTTTCTTTAATTCCACTTTTACATAAACTCTTCGAAGTACCTTCATACAAGCACTATGAAAATATATTCTTACTCTTCCCTTTCCTTCACAGAAGGGAGCCCATTATATATACCTTCCCTGCCTTTTCAGGGTAGATCTTTTCATCTTAGTTTGTAGGGCCCATTCCTGTGTCTGTAGGTTGGCCCAGTGTTCCTAGGTCTGGATGGATTATCAGCTGTCCGTCAGTCCTCCAGCCTATGGGCCCTGAGGCAGCTTCCTGGGCTTTGCACTGAGTAGGAGGTCTGCACTTGTGTCTTGCTGCCTGGTCCTTGTGAGCAGCCATATCCTCCATGGTGTAGATGCTCCAATTGATCTGCCCAGCACCCAGCTGTGCTACCCTTCCTTGCCCCAGGCACAAATGTGTCTGTGGCTGGATGTTTCTGTTGCTTTCTCTCGAGGCCACAGGGTGTGCTAGGCTCAGAGTGGTGGCAGGGAGAACAGGCCTGCCCGTTCCAGGCATCCTGCCTGTGCTGCCCTCTCTCATCTCTGGCTCTTTCCTACAGCAACTGACCAACCACATCCGGGAGTTGCTGCCGACCCTGCGCAGCAAGCTACAAAGCCAGCTGCTGTCCTTGGAGAAGGAGGTGGAGGAGTACAAGAACTTCCGGCCTGACGACCCCACACGCAAAACCAAAGCCCTGCTGCAGTACGTGCCCCGCCCCTCCCAGCCTGGCCACCTCCTGCCTTCCGCCAGCCACAGCGTCTGGAGGGCTAGGCACTTATCGGCACTCATTCATTCACTCAACAAATGTGTGTTGAGAGCCTCCTGTGTGCCAGGCCCTGTCCTAAGCACGGGGGTCACTGCAGTGAGCGGGGCAGGTGCCCATCCCTGTCCCTGGGGTGCTCAGAAAGGGGGGAGGAGAAGGAATGGGACAGGAAATAAGGAAATGTATAGTGTGTTAAATGGCAAAATGTTAAAGTGAGGAAGGGGCTAGATTGTGGAAGAGTGGGAGTGTCTGGAAAGGCCTCCCTGAGAAGGTGAGAGGCAAAGGCCTGAAGGGGGTGAGGGAGGGAGCCATGCAGACTTCTGGGGATGAGGCCTGGCTGGTGCAAAGGCCCTGGGGCAGGAACATGCCAGTGTGCTGAGCGAGTGAGAAGGAGAGAGGGAGGAAATGAGGGCAGGGAGGTGACAGGGCAGAAACTTTGGGGCCTTGTGGGCCACAGGGAGGACTTGGGCTTTTGTTTTGAGTGAGGTGGGAGCCATGGAAAGTTCTGAGCAGAGGAGGGAGGTGACTGACTTAGGTGTATCCAGGCTCTTTTGGCTGTTGTGGGTAAACAGAGAGGGGAGAGGGGAGAAGCCAGATCCTGCATCTGATCCTTCTGCTGCTAAGCCTCTTGGAATCCTCATCGTGACCCTGACTTGGTGCAGCTGCCCAGCTGTGACGTGGGGGAGTGGGTGTGCCCCACAATTTCAAGTTCTCACTCAGGTCCCCTCCTACCCCTGCCTTCCTGGTCTGTGGCCTGCAAGGGTCCCTGGGGGGCTGGGATGGCTTTGCCTGAGCAGGGTGCCAGAGACTCCCTGGCAGCTCACATGGCAGATGGGGCTATGCATGAGACTCCTCCCATGGGCACACAAGAGGGACACTGCCCCTGATGGCTGTCCCACCCTCTGCCATGTATCAGTGCTTGCTAGTAGGCTTGTGGGTGAGAATACCTTTATGCTCAGACAATCTTGGCTTCATCCCGGAAAGCGTTCTGCAGAGCGCATGCCAGCCCTTGCAGACTTCAAGAGGAGACATGGTCTAATGGCTAGAAAGAAGTGTGTGCTCTGGAGGCCACGGCCTAGGGGTGAATGGGGGGCTGGCCAATTAGGTCACTTGCTTAGATCTGCTAGGCGACCACAGGCAGGTGATCAAGCCTCTCTGGACCTTGCTTTCTGCACCCCTAACATGAGGAGGGCAGCAGCTCTCATCTCTTGTCGCCATTGGGAAAACCTGGGAGAAAAACGCTGCTCAGTAGCTCACTTGGGAGACCGTGGTGCTGGTAACACCAAGGTTATAGGTTCGGATCCTGTACTAGCCAACTACAAAAAAAAAAAAAAAAATGCTGCTTGTGAAGCCCTGGCAGGACCAGGCCAGGAGACGCCCTCCATGAACGGTCCCCATCCCCTGGGGCTTAGCAGGTTAAGTGTCATTGGTAACCAGTGCCACGCAGGGCCCTGCCCAGGTAGTTGTGACATCATGGTGGAGATACGCTGCTGTCCTCTGCAGCCCCCAGTGAGGGCTGGGCCTTCCTTCTTTGGCATCTGGGGATCTGAGATTGTCATACAGACTGCAGGCCACACATACAAGCTGAGGCCCCTGCTCCTTCCTTCCCCGTGAGTGGTCCTGTCTTTATTAGCTTCTTGCCTCTCCTCCGCCTTGGCCTTTAATATAAAAATGATTCCCTTCATGTGGTCCAAAGGGGTGGACTGTGAAAGCTTCCCCATTCTTCTTCTGCACACCAGTTCCTGTCTTCAGACGTGAGCCGTGTTTCCAGGTTCCTGCCTGACGAAAGAGTAGGAAGACTGGCCTCAGCTTCTCCCCAGGCTTGCTCTTTCACTTTTCTTTTTTTTTTTTTTCGTGTCCGGCAACGGATCGCAACCCTCAGTGTCGCGCCCGTACCGGACCGGGACCGGCACGGGATCGCAACCCTCGGTGTTGCTCCCACCCCTCGCTCAGCCAGTGAGCGGGAACCGGTCTGTATGTGGGATCCGAACCCTCGGCGGGAGCGCCACCGCGCTCCCAAGCGGCGCACTGTAGCAGTGCGCCACCGGGCCGGCCCCGCTCTTTCACTTTTCTTTTTTTTTTTTCGTGTCCGGCAACGGATCGCAACCCTCAGTGTCGCGCCCGTACCGGACCGGGACCGGCACGGGATCGCAACCCTCGGTGTTGCTCCCACCCCTCGCTCAGCCAGTGAGCGGGAACCGGTCTGTATGTGGGATCCGAACCCTCGGCGGGAGCGCCACCGCGCTCCCAAGCGGCGCACTGTAGCAGTGCGCCACCGGGCCGGCCCGCTCTTTCACTTTTCTCTTCTTGTTAAAGCATCATCTCCAGCCTTCCATTTCCCTTGGGGGGCTGCCTGGAGGATTCCACAGGTTATTCATGTGTCCCAATGCCTACAGGGGGACATCCGCCCACAGGGGACATCCAAGTCTTTTTTGCTTCAACAGATACTTGCCCGTTCCTCACTGAGTACACAGGGGAGGACTCCTACAGGGCAGACCCCAGAAAAGGGATCTCTTCTGGGTCAGGTGCACACACATTTAAATTTGAATGGGGGGCTGGCCGGTTAGGTCACTTGCTTAGAATGACCAAGCAAGGATTTGGATCCTTATACTGGCTGGCTGCCAAAAAGAAAATTGAATGGGTATCACTAACACGGTCTCCAGAGCAGTATAATCAGTGCCCCTGCCAGCCTGGATTGGCTTCTGGATCTTCCTTGGGTCATGCACTGGCTCATACAGGATGCCACAGATAGAAAAACCTGCCATTTCTACTCTCATCGTTATATCATCATCATCATCATCACCATCTTGATAGATGTGTGTCTCTGTTTTCTGCACCCCCACTCAGCTTGGTCATCGCTCCGTGTGGGGTTAAATTGTACATAGCCTTCTTTACCTATAAATGCCATCCTGTAAATAGAATGTAGGTCATTGAAAAGCCCCTGGCAGAATCTTTCCCCAAGCATGTGCCTAGGGGCACTTTTGGGACCAGCTCCCCTCCCTCAGCTTTTGTGCTTTGCACCTTGAGTCTCTCTGCCTCTAGGACTAGAAACAGGGACCCATGTTCCCTAGCTGTGAGATTGTGGATGTAAACTTGTGACTGCCAATCTCTGATGACCAATGGTCATTACCAGTCATTCACAGATTTCTTTTTTATCTTTTTCCTTTTGGAGGCTAGCTGGTGCGGGGATTCAAGCCCTTGACCTCAGTGTTACCAGCACTGCCCTCTAACCAAGTGAGCAAACCAGCCAGCCCTGGTAGATTTCTTACCTGTCCCATACATTGCTGCATTAGTTTGCTAGGGCTGCCGTATCAAAAGTACCCCAAAGTGGGCAGCCTAACCAACAGAAAGTTACCCTCTCATAGTTCTGGACACTGAAAGTCCAAGATGAAGGTGTTGGCAGGGTTGGTTCCTTCTGAGGGCTTCTGGTGGTTTGCTGGCAATCTTCGGTGTTCCCGTTCTCTCTCTTCATCTTCACATGGCATACTGCCTAGGTATGTGTCCAAATTTCCCCTTTTTATAGAGACACCAGTCATACTGGCTTAAGGGCCCACCCTACTCCAAGATGACCTCATCTTGATTAATTATATCTGCAAATAAGGTCACATTTCGAGATTCTGGAGGCTATGATTTCAACCCCAGTTTTGGGGGACACCATTCAGCCCATAACAGTGGTCTAGGATGCTCTGTGTGTGCAGCTTGGGCTGGGCCCCAAAATCGACCCCAGGGCCCCAGGAGGCTGGCCCTGCTGTGTGCTTCGTCAGTCACCTCCTCCTCTTTGCGGCTGGCGGCAGGTGGCCAGAGTCTCTATCCTCACCCAAACCACTCCCCTGTCCATTGTTGTTACTTCAGGGCTGTTCCTTTCAGGGTCTTGGCCATGGGTTGGCCCACGATTTAAGGCCCCCATTCCAGGTGCGGCATTAACACAGGCCTTTGTGTGTCTCCTGGAAAGAAATCAAATGTCCACACCCTCCACTTCATGTGGGCAAAGAGCTTTTTGGAATCTGGGCAGCTTGTGCGTGCCCCACCCCCAGGGCGTGGAAGAGAACCCCTTCATCAGCTGCCAGGCCTTGGTGGCCCCAGCAGCTCTCTTCCTTTAGTTGTACCTGCCCAGAAGATGCTAGAGAACTGCAGGCTGGAAGCTACAGGCTCAGCTGGGAGCTGGTCCCCATTGGAGCAGCTGCTTTTTTGGGAAAAGTGCACAGAATACTAGAGTAGATCAAGAATTTGGGGGGGTGGGACTGATTAAGGCAGACAGTGCAGGTACTGGGGGGAGCAGTTTGGAATGCTAAGGAAAACCAAAAGGCTAATAATATATATCATCTTAGTTCCTCACTGTTCATATGGCTACAGAGCTAGTAGACAATGCTGAGGGGGACCTTTTAAGGGCGGGTTGGGTTCTGAGGGGCCGCATATGGTATTATCACATTTTGTCCATTATGTGAGCACTTTAAAGAAAATCAATATGTTAACATTTCCGAAATGAGGAGTCTTAGATGAATTACCATTAATTGGCAGCATTTTTCCATTCTGTGGGCACACCAAATAACAGTGCGTTCTTAGAGTTGATGAAATCTAGAAATCTAGGAATCTAGAAATGCCTTCAGTGCTCACAACAACCCTGTAGGGTCGATACTGTTACCATCCACCCACTTTCCAGATGAGGAAACTGAGGCTCAGAGGGGAAAAGCTGTCTGTCTAAGTCCTCACAGCATATCAGTGCTGGAGTCCCCCTGCAAATAGGCTGGGAGGTGAAAGGAACCTGCAGAAACCACCTGAATTGTGGTTTCCTGCCAAATCAAGTTGAGTCTCAGGGCAGAAACTGCTGAGCTGTGACCCCCAAGCTTCACTCTGCAAAGTGGAAGTAATAACTGACCCCCCTCAGATTCAATGAGTGAATGATTACAGCAGGCTCAGCATGGGCCTGGCTCATAGGAAGTATTTGCCATTGGCAGCTCTCGTACTTTGTTTATTTGTTTTAACATCTGCATGCATTTTGCTACTAAAAAAATGAAAAAAGTAAAGCAAACCATGTCTTGACTTGGAACATAATTCCAGAGCTGTCTCAAAAACTCCGCTGTGATGTTGTTTCTTCTTTCTTGTAGGATGGTCCAGCAGTTTGGGGTGGACTTTGAGAAGAGGATTGAGGGGTCGGGAGACCAAGTGGACACTCTGGAGCTCTCCGGAGGCGCCCGAATCAATCGCATCTTCCATGAGCGGTTTCCTTTTGAACTGGTGAAGGTAACACTCTCAGGGCTGGGCACCCCCTGTCTCAGGTCAGGCACCCTCCTGCTTGCCCTTGAGCCCAGCCTTCTCCCAGGTCACGAGGCTTTGAATTCCTACCTCCCAGCCTGAGCCTGCTGTGGGCAGAGCAGGGCCTGGAGGAGGTGTCCCCATGGGCTTCCTTCCCAGAGCGGGCAGCTTAGAGGTTTTGAGCAGAAGGGTATGAAAGTTTCATTTTTTGCCTCGGACAAAAACCAATACATATTTTAGTACCAACAAGGTCAAAGGTTTGAATCCCCATACCAGGCAGCCACAAAAACAAACAAAAAACCCAATACGTGTTAGTTGCAAAACACACAGAAAATATAGGTAAACTCACATGGGAAAATGTCCCCATCATGTTGCTGAAGAAAGGAAAAAGCATGTTACAGAGCCAGCACGTGCCACACAGCATATAGATGACATATATAACATCCTTACCTATGAAATTGTTCATGTATGTTTTTGTGTGGACAGATCAACAAGGATGTTCCCGAAAATAATCAGCTCTGGGTACTGGGATTTGGGACTTTTTTTTTTTTTTTTTTTTTAAAGATGACCGGTAAGGGGATCTTAACCCTTGACTTGGTGTTCTCAGCACCACGCTCACCCAGTGAGCAACCGGCCATCCCTATATGGGATCCGAATCCGTGGCCTTGGTGTTATCAGCACCGCACTCTCCCGAGTGAGCCACAGGCCGGCCCCTTATTTTTTTTTTCCTTTTGGGAGAGTGGTTTGCTCAAAGTTTTACACTTTTTGCAGTGAGCACAGAGCATTTTTATTTAAAAAAAAATTTTTTTTTTTCAATAAAAGAGCATACACTAAAGGGAGAGAGACACTCATAATCCTGATACCCACAGACAAGGCGTGTTAGCGCCGGTGTGTGTGCACGCTTTCAGAGTTATTTCTGTGTGAGTGGACAAGCCTGCCAGCATCCACAATCACAGCATGTGTCTTCGTCCATACTTGTGAATTTATATATATTTTCTAATCAGAAAACAAATTATGAGGGCCGGCCTGTGGCTTACTTGGGAGAGTGTGGTGCTGATATCACCAAGATTACAGGTTCAGATCCCTATATAGGGATGGCCGGTTTGCTCACTTGGGAGAGCGTGGTGCTGACAACACCAAGTCAAGGGTTAAGATCCCCTTACCGGTCATCTTTTTTTTTTCCTTTTGTCTTTTTTTCATGTCCGGCAATGGACCACAACCCTCAGTGTCGCGCCCGTACCGGACCGGGACCGGCAACGGGATCGCAACCCTCGGTGCTGCGTCCGCCCCTCGCTCAGCCAGTGAGCGGGAACCGGTCTGTATGTGGGATCCGAACCCTCGTCGGGAGTGCCGCCGCACTCCCAAGCGGCGCACTGTAGCAGTGCACCACCGGGCCGGCCCCGGTCATCTTTTAAAATAAATAAACAAACAAACAAATTATGTGTTTTGTACCCACTTTTTTTTTTACATGGTGACCGTCTTTCCAAACTAATCATGTGCAGGTAGTGGGTTGTTAATGGCAAAGCAATATTCTATTTTATAGATGTCCCAATGTGCATTTAAGCAGTCTCCCACTGCTGGACATTTAGATTGTGTTCATATTTTTCAGTAGTTACGAATAATTCTGTAGTTAAATCTTCATAAATTCCTCAAGATACATATCTAGTGCATTAGAACTACTGTCTGACAGTGTATATATGTTTTTGAAGGTTCTTGATTTGTAGTCCATGAGAATAAGAAAGTTTTAAAAATTTGTTTTAAAGCCAGTCAAATTTAGCTGAGGGGCTCGTATACCATCTTTAGTGACACTAACGTTAATAAGTTCTAATAACCTACTACCTACCATCAGACCAGCCTCCATAAGAAAGTTTATATGAATTCATTTTCCTACCAACATAGCTAGAGTGTTGGTTTCACAGCATCCTTTGATGAAATTGGGTTTTAATTTTTTTTAAAACTTTGACCAATTAAATATTCTGCCTTGTGACTACAGCCACACATAGGAGATAACATTTCCCAGATACACACCTGTTATGGGGGTGCCCCAGGTACCTCTTTGCATGGGTTTGGTCTATTTCTTCTCAGATGGAATTTGACGAGAAGGACCTAAGACGAGAGATTAGCTACGCCATTAAGAACATCCATGGAGTCAGGCAAGTTCCACAGGGACAGGCACCATGTCCCCTTTCTCTTGGCAGTGCCCGTCTCCAATCAGGCCCCCCAGACCTCTGGGTGCCCCAATTATGAGGCCTTGAGAGGGCTCTTGGGTGGTTTTCAGTAGCTGTAAGCCTCTCTGCGGATCTCCAAGGGCACTTGAGGGCGGATGTGTTTCAGTCTTGGGTGGCTCTGTCACAGGCCACAGGGATGTCATGGCTCCTGGTTAAACATGACTGGGTTCCTGCCCCGTTGGTTGGTATGAGCTTTAATCACTATGGTTAACTAAGAAAGCCCACTGCAGATTTGCCTGGGGTGGGGCAGGGGGGGCAGTTACGAGTCAGGATTATAGGAACCCAGCATTTGTCCCCAGCACAGGTCCCCCATGAGCTTCCTGGGTCTCCTCCTTATTCCAACCAGGGGGTCGCTCCAGTTGTCCAGCCTTGCATTGCCATGGGGTCCTCAGGTCACCCTGGGGGTTTTCCAGCAGCAGACTCAGGCATCTGACCCCCAGACTTGATGTGTCTTTGCTCCCTCTTGGGGACCCGGCCAGTACCTGTGAAATTGCTGACCGTGCTTTGTTTTTCTCTGACTTATCTCCCCTGCCCCCTGGGTCTGGACGCTTTTAGGACCGGGCTCTTCACCCCGGACTTGGCATTCGAAGCCATTGTGAAAAAACAGGTCGTCAAGCTGAAAGAGCCCTGTCTGAAATGTGTCGACCTGGTTATCCAGGAGCTAATCAATACAGTTAGGCAGTGTACCAGTAAGGTATTGAACCCTCGGCAGGGTGACTCCTGGCCTTGTGGACACGGGGTTCGGGGGTTTGGTATCAGGCTCCCAGTGCTGCATCGGCCCCCACTGGTGCCTTTTCCCCCACATTGCCTCAGTGTCCATGCATGTGGCCTCTACCCAGAGGCTGAGGCAGGAGCATGTCAGCCTGGGCCCATCGGGGAGGTGCTTGGCCTCTAGAACTGGCCAGACTGGTGGACAGGTCTCCCTAGGACCCTGATACCAAGCCTAGCATGTGTCTGATGGGATTGGGGGTTTCACTGGGCTGTTGCTTTGCTGCCTTCTGGGAAGCAGAGAGGGACCCCGTGTCAGCTGCTGGAGGCTGAACTCCCTGAACCTCCCTGGCCGTCACCCCTATCTTGACAGATGTCCAGCATCCTCAGGCTGCGCCAGAGCCAGCCACTTCTCTGTCCCTGTTGTGCTGGGAAAGGCCTGAACACCCACAGCATAATAAGCACTTGGGTGCCTAGTTTGATAAAGCTGGCTGGGCTCCTAACTGCCCCCGCCAGCTCCCTTACACCCATGCCATCCCCCCTGGGCAGCCGTCCTCAGATCCACTCCGTCACCAGTGCCTCTGTGCCACTGTTCACAGGTGACTACCTCCACTGGGCAGGACGTGTGGGCTCCTCCCACGGACCTGTTTCCCAGGGCAGCACGCTTTGGCCGAGCCGCTGAAGTGCTTCCCGGTGGGCAGTCTGTGCTTGCACGACCAGTGTCCCCAGCGCTCTGGGTTGGCAGGGAATTTCTGCTTGAGCCCTCTGTTCTCAGTCTGGAAAAGCCCACATTTGCTTCTTAAGCTTCTTCGATTGGAAAAGGGAGGGAAAAAAAACCCAGATTGGTTGGAGATTGTCATTCCAGAGCCTGTCACAGATAGGAAAATTCAAGGCTTCTGCACACCTTGGCTGTCCATATGATGACAACAACCTGTAGAAGTCCTGTCATTAAACCCCAGACCCAGCCACCCCTCACCCCCAGCTCAGGCCTCTTTGATCTGAAGCAGCTTTCGGGGCAAATGCGGGCACAGGCTCCTCATGCATGAACTAACAAGCTGACTCTCGTTTCTTCTCTCTCTCTGTCTCCCGTCCCATGTGTGTGGCCTGCACTGTCCCTGGGTGTCTTTCTACCTCGTCCCGCCCTCCACATGACCCAGGACGGGGCTCTTCACCCCCGACATGGCCTTTGAAGCCATTGTGAAAAAACAGATTGTAAAACTCAAAGAGCCGAGTTTGAAGTGTGTTGATCTCGTGGTCTCAGAACTGGCCACGGTCATTAAAAAGTGTGCTGAGAAGGTAACAGGTTTCGTTATTACCATCCATGCATTTGTTCCTCCTGTCTTCTCCCTTCCATTTGTGAGTCTCAACCCAGGCATCTGGAAAATTCTGCCTCAGCAGGAACCCCTTTCTGCGGACCAGTTGTTGCTTAGCAAAGTTGAGACTTTGCATTGGCAGATGAAACGGGGAATTGTATTGTGCAGGGGTCCCATCCTTGTGTCTTTGGCTACTGGCAGGGACAGGAAGCCCTTGACATGACCAGATAAATCACATTTACTAAACAATGCCTGTTTCTGGGACCCTCAAAGAAATGGGTTTCCCAGCTGTCACCAAAGAAGCAAAACACATTGTCATTGTGTTCTTACCTTAGGGGGGCACTTGAGGGGGTTTCACCAGCTATTTTGACCATCCACTCCATTGTCCCTAACTTGTGGGCCTCACGCACACCACGGAAGATGTGACTCCCCTGTGAGCACAGTCTGGTTAGGTTACTGCTGTGGAGGAAGGCCAGGGGGTTGGGGGGAGAAGAGTGGGTGCCAATGATGCAACAATCAGGACTGGTTTTCCGCAAGGGGGTCCCTCTGAGGTCGATAGCCCAGATGCCACCCCCTCCATTCTAGAACAGGGGACATGAGCTCACCAGCTTGGCAGTGGCCCTCACTATTCCCGCTGTCACCCGGTGCTGGGTGGGAGGGGGTTCCCAGGACTTGCAGGCGGCAAACGCATGCCACCTGCTTTCTCTGCCACCTTCCCCCTCCCAGCTGCTGGCCCAAAAAGCATCTCTGCTCTTGCATGGGCACCCTATTGCTACCTCCAGTCCACCGTTCCCCCACTGTCCTGCTCTTGTCTCCCAGCTGGAGCAGCTATGACACAGGTGCAGGGTGAGGACTCGGTGGGAACACCCCTTGTGTGCCCCCTATCCCCCTACATTTTCTACTGTGTGGTTCACGTTGCTTCCTGTGCCACGAGTACTCAGCCAACGCAGACACTCTGCTTGCCCCCCAGCTCAGTTCCTACCCCCGGTTGCGAGAGGAGACAGAGCGGATCGTCACCACTTACATCCGGGAACGGGAGGGGAGAACCAAGGACCAGGTATTGGCTTTTGCTCTTATTTCCAGGTGTAATTCACATGCAGTAAATGTTGAGTGTACAGTTCTGTGGGTTTTGTCAAATGCATATAGCAACTTAAGTAACTCCCACCTTGATTGAGATACAGCACGGTTCTATCACCCCCAAATTCTTGTCCTTGTGCCCCTTTGTAGCTACTTCCCAAACCCCCCAGCCCTGGTACCCATTGGTCGCTCTCCGTCCCTCCAGTTTTTGAATAGACGCCTACAGTTAGTAGCCTTTTGATGCTTGACATCCTTCTCTTGGCGTGTTGCCTTTGTGGTTCATCCATGTGGTCTGTTGTGCATGTCAGTAGCTTGTTGCTTCCTGTTGCTAGATAGCGTTTCGGGGTATGGATGGGCCACAGCTCACTTATCCATTTGCCCACTGGGGGACATCTGGACGTTTGCTTTTTATGTTTTAGCCCTTTCTCGCTAAGATGTCCAAGCACACGCAAAGGTAGAGGGGGACATGCTCCTACCAGCTGCCTCTGCAGCATGAGTCTCATCTGTCACCTGCCAAGCCCTGGGCCGTCATCACATCTTCTCACGGCCCACGACTTGCTTCAAGTCACTTTCCCTCAAGTCACTTTCCCTCAGTTGTCTTCTGTGGCCTTTTAGCAACTGTTTGTTATTCTCATTTTATTTATTTTGGTGGCTGGCTGTGCGGGAACCCGAACCCTTGACCTTGGTGTTACAACACCGTGCTCTAAGCCAACTGAGCTAACTGGCCAGCTCTTTGCACCTGTTTGTTCAAAGCAGAACCAAATTGATGAGGCTACATGTTGTATTTACTGGTTATTTCACTTTGTCGGGAACGGTTCTGTGCCCTCGCTATTGATGGGGAAGAATCCAGCTCATTTGTCCTTCAGAGTGTCCCCAAGTTTCTCTCGCTCTCTTGGGGAGATAGTCCACTTTGTCCTTGTTGTCTTGTAGCTTCTGTTGCCTGGAAGTTGTACCAAAAGCCTGAGAAGTTCCAATTCATTTCGTTGAGGTGGTTGCCAAGAATGCTGCTGTGTCTCCCAAAGCCACCACAGCCCCTAGTGCCCCCCTGTTGACACTGCCGGGCTTGATCCAAGAGATCAGAGATGAGACTCAGGCCTCAAAAAACCAGTGACAGTGGCTCCCACGGATGGGGTACCCTGGCATTTTCCACTGGCCCCACCAAGTCCAAGTGCTTTGCCCTGTTTTATGCTCGAGGGCTTGGGGGCACAGGATGGGAAGTGATTGGCCAGGGCCAGTGGGAGCCCAGTGGGGAACCCAGAGCCCCTCCTCCCCAGCAGCCTGGCTTGTTCTTAGCAGGAACCAAGCCAATGAGCTGTCTGGCCCATTGTTCCCATAGACCAGCCTCATCCTGGGTAAAATAGGACCAGTAGCAGGGAGGGAGAGTTTCAGCAGTACAGTGGGCTTGCAGGCACCTGTCCCTTATTTGAGACTGTATTCTTTTTTTTTTTTTTTTTTTTTAAAAGATGACCGGTAAGGGGATCTTAACCCTTGACTTGGTGTTGTCAGCCCTGCACTCTCCCGAGTGAGCCACGGGCCGGCCCTGAGACTGTATTCTTTTTTTTTTTTTTTAAAAGATGACCGGTAAGGGGATCTTAACCCTTGACTTGGTGTTGTCAGCCCTGCACTCTCCCGAGTGAGCCACGGGCCGGCCCTGAGACTGTATTCTTTTTTTTTTTTTTTAAAAGATGACCGGTAAGGGGATCTTAACCCTTGACTTGGTGTTGTCAGCCCTGCACTCTCCCGAGTGAGCCACGGGCCGGCCCTGAGACTGTATTCTTTTTTTTTTTTTTTAAAAGATGACCGGTAAGGGGATCTTAACCCTTGACTTGGTGTTGTCAGCCCTGCACTCTCCCGAGTGAGCCACGGGCCGGCCCTGAGACTGTATTCTTTTTTTTTTTTTTTAAAAGATGACCGGTAAGGGGATCTTAACCCTTGACTTGGTGTTGTCAGCCCTGCACTCTCCCGAGTGAGCCACGGGCCGGCCCTGAGACTGTATTCTTTTTTTTTTTTTTTAAAAGATGACCGGTAAGGGGATCTTAACCCTTGACTTGGTGTTGTCAGCCCTGCACTCTCCCGAGTGAGCCACGGGCCGGCCCTGAGACTGTATTCTTTTTTTTTTTTTTTAAAAGATGACCGGTAAGGGGATCTTAACCCTTGACTTGGTGTTGTCAGCCCTGCACTCTCCCGAGTGAGCCACGGGCCGGCCCTGAGACTGTATTCTTTTTTTTTTTTTTTAAAAGATGACCGGTAAGGGGATCTTAACCCTTGACTTGGTGTTGTCACCGCCACGGTTCCCCAGTGAGCGAACCGGCCATCCCTATGTGGGATCCGAACCCGGGGCCTTGGTGTTATCAGCACTGCACTCTCCCGAGTGAGCCACGGGCCGGCCCTGAGACTGTATTCTTACTGGCTTGTGTGTGTACGTATGTGTGCACATGTGCATGGGTGCCCGTTTGTGTGTGTGTTTTATTTTAACATTCTCACTGGGCCAAGTTGGTTTGCAGTTTTAATGCGCATTTATAACATGCAAGGCGCCAAAGACTTTATGTACTCAGTTGGTTAGAGCAAGTGCTGATAACATGAAGGTCTGGGGTTCAATCTCTGTACCAACCAGCCAGCAAAAATAAAGATTTTATGTACTATAAATGATGAACCCTATGCAGTTGGGCCTCCTGTCACCCCATTCCACAGCTTGTCAACATGAGGCCCAGGGTCACATGGCTTGTTGGTGGTCTAGCTGAGACTCCAGCCCGGGTGGTCAGCTGTAGAGGCCATTCCTGTGGCTGCCACGCTGGGCTGCCTGGCTCTATTCTGTTGGGCCTTGACATCTGGAAGCACTCATGCCCCATACCCCCTGCCCCCTGCTGATCTACCCCAGGGAGTGCGGAGTGCATGTGCGATCCCTGCTGGCTGGACCCTGCCTGGGAAGTCGCCTGGTTCCCGGGCCCCCCCTGCTGGCGGGTGCAGGAAGTGCTCCAGCTGCTGTCCCTTCTTGCCACACTCTAGTGTATACTCACAGCGCCCCCCACTTTCCCCCAGATTCTTCTTCTGATCGACATTGAGCAGTCCTACATCAACACCAACCACGAAGACTTCATTGGATTTGCCAAGTATGTACTTTTCGGCACAGTGGCTGGTGGGTGCCACTTCCTGCCCTCAGAGCCAGTCCTTGAGGGCAGCAATGGAGCTGGGATCCGCCTGAGGGTGAAGGCAGAGCCGTCTGAGAATATCTGCAAGCTTTTCTGGGCTAATACTGGCCCCCATCCCATTGTCCCCAACCAACATTGCCTTCTGTGGGGCATCGCAGTGGTTAGTTTAAAGGAAAAAGTCCTGTGGTCAGACACGTGGGGAAAGGGTGAGGCCAGCCAGCCCTGTGCTTCCTCTCTTGCAGGACTTCTCAGTGCTTTTATAGACCTATATGTAGCTTTTCTTAAACTTGGCCCTTTGGTGGAATGCATCTCATGGGCTCAGGGTTCTAGAGGCTGCTCTTAGGGAAGTGCTGCTTAAGATCTCTCTGGCTTCCAGCCATACATTATAGGCTTAAAACCAGAACCTTCTATAGACCTATATGTAGCTTTTCTTAAACTTGGCCCTTTGGTGGAATGCATCTCATGGGCTCTGGGTTCTAGAGGCTGCTCTTAGGGAAGTGCTGCTTAAGATCTCTCTGGCTTCCAGCCATACATTATAGGCTTAAAACCAGAACCTTTCATGGCACCCAGGTGAGGGGCCAGAGTGGGGACCTCTGATTATGGTAGGGTGTAGACATGAAGGTGGATTCGGGTGTTACTCACTGATTCCATCAGCCCCTGGGCCCCCTCAGTGAGCTTGGGTGTCCTTCAGATTGTTCTGGTAGCTCACAGAGGTCTTCTTGCCTGAGGCTAATAGAATCACTGCCCAGTGGTAGCCAGCTTCCTTGTATTCATTTAGCAGATACTGCTGGTGTGCCAGGCACTGGGATAGAGCAATGAGCAAGCCCAGACCCAGGTCCCCACCCTCAACAGGCCCCACATGAGAGACAGACGTAGCATGCTCAGTGCCAGGAAGGGGCCATGCAGGGCCCTTGGGAGTCCAGAGGGTGGCCTTCTGTCCTGGCCTTGGAGGTCCAGGGAGGCCTCTTTGAAGAGGGCCTGCTAGAGCCATGTCTTGGGTAGAACATTTATCAATGCTCTCAACAAAGTTGACTGAGCATCTATTCTTGGTTGGCCACATGGTAGGTGAGCAGAAGGAAGGAATGAGGAATGAATGAGTGAGCAGTTGGGGGTGTGATCAGAAGCTCCTCTCTGAGCCCAGATGAGCCAAGGGCCCTGGCTGGGCTGTACCCACTGGGGTGGGCTGGGGAGCCGCTCCTGCCCCTGTTCTCCCAGCCATGTATGGGCTGAAAAGGCCGCCACCCTCTTTGGTTTGCTGCTGTTCTCACCGTGACGTCTCTGCTCTCACACTTCATCCACAGTTCCTTCTCACAATCTCTCCTGTTTTTCCTTTGACCACTCTTTCCTCTGGATTCCTGGGCCTTCCCACTTTCCCCAGCTGTTACTATACTGAGCAGCTGGTGACCGGGTGGGTATTGCCTGCTGTGTGCCTTTTCTCTGGTGTGTGAATGGGGACGCCCTGGCTGGGTGGCTCCAGCCCTGGGTGGGATGTCCCAGGGGCCCACTGAGTAGCTATGGAGCACCTTCTTGGAGCCAGGTCCAGTGTGGGGCCTTGGCACTAGGACAGTGAATGAGCTGGCCACAGCCCCTGTCCTTGCAGAGCCCACAGGCAGGAGAGATGGAGCCAGTTTACAAATTGTCACAAGGAAGATGAGGTTGGCAGAGAGTAGGTGAGGGTTGTGGGAAAGGGGAGTGAGGGATGTGGCCTGGAGAGACCTTCCTGAAGAAGCTGTGACAGCCAGGTGACAGGTGGGGGAACCCAGAGAATTGGGGACAGGGAAGGAAGGCTGAGAGGCAAGAGCATGGGGAGACCAAGGCAAGGTGGAGTGATGGAGGTGGCAGCCAGGCTCTTTAGCCAAGAGGGCTCTGAAGGTCGCAGGAAGGATTTTGGACTTTCCCCCAAGGCAGTGGGAAATCTCTGACTGGGTCCAAGCATGGGAGTGGAGCCACCATGTGGGCTGCCATTTAAGGGAGGCAGGTGAGGGCGGGAGCCAGGAAGCCCTTAGCACGTATCTCCTCTGGGACTTCTTATCACCCAGCTATCACCCAGTCACACCTCCTTCAGATGCTGTTGCTCAAAGTCCTTCCTGTGTGTAGGTGTTCCGGGCTTCTTACGCCCTCTAATCACTAAAGCAGGACCCAGAGAAGAAGCCCTGTAATAAACTCATTGAATGTTAAGAAAACTGTTGGGTAAAATTCCACATCCATTCTTCACTTTCCAGCCTTTACTGCTCTAGGAATAGAAACCTATCTTAACACACCCACAGTCTGCCTTACCCAACAGCCAACGTGAACTTTAAGGCAACACTCCAGAGGCGGTTAGTAAAGGAATGAGACAAAGCTGGTTTGCTTTTTCTTATTGTTCTGAAAGTTCCAGCTAAAGCAATAAGATAAAAGAAAATATGATGGATAAGTCACAGGAGTTATAAACTGTTTACAGGTTCATGATATGATTGTTGGAGTAGAAAATGTTAGAACCAACAGTGGGGTTGAGTAGGTGCCCACGTATTAAATCCAGTGGCCTTCATCTGTGCCAGCACCAACTAGCCAGGAATTAGGATAGATAAAGAAAAGAGATCTGGGATTGTGGACAGATAGGGACCTTGTAGAAACCCTGTTGCATGCAGGAGCCATGCAAGATGAGTGGTGTTTTCGTGGTGAGCAGTTGTCCCGCGGTCTGACCTGGGCTGGAGGACCTTATGGTTAGAGCCACTCCCATGCTGGTGTTGGGGTCAGGGATGGGAAGATAGAGCGAGAAGCCTCAAGTTTTGATGCCCAGCCAGCCTGGTGCTCCTATTACCCAAGAGCCATTGGTGAGCAGTTGTCCCGCGGTCTGACCTGGGCTGGAGGACCTTATGGTTAGAGCCACTCCCCTGCTGGTGTTGGGGTCAGGGATGGGAAGATAGAGCGAGAAGCCTCAAGTTTTGATGCCCAGCCAGCCTGGTGCTCCTATTACCCAAGAGCCACCATGGCTACCTCTAGGTCACCTGGGACTCCAGATTCTCATGCTCCCTCCTGGAAGCTCCGGGATTCCTTGACTTCTGGAAATAACCAGCACTTTCAGGGGTGGCTGAGCTCAGAGGCTAGAAGCCTTGGTTTAACCAGATACTTTTTCTTGTTCCACATGCCCAAGCTGTTGTCCTTGGGCAGCTCTTTGTGTGCAAGGGGCTTCTTTCGCCTCTACCCGTAGCTGGTCAGTTGGCCCCCAAGGGAGAGAACCCCCATGTGGGCCACTGGGGCCGCCTGCTGCTCATCCCTCCCAGGTTCTCGTCCACATGAGCCTTCTCTGTACTTCGGTTTCAGCGCCCAGCAGAGGAGCACGCAGCTGAATAAGAAGAGAGCCATCCCCAATCAGGTAGCCCACCCCTCCATGGCTAACGCTGCACCCTGAGGGTGGGAGGGCCCTAAGGGACCACTGAGGCCCAGCCAGAAAACAGTCTGAGAGCCTAAGCTCTGGCATGGCCTAGGGGGCAAATTCTACTCACCCCAGAGGGCCCTGTCTGACATCCAAGGCAGGGTTAGTACTTGATCCTCAAGACAGGGGCCTGTCTGTGACCAAATTGGGTCTCCCAGCACCAGTTCCATGCCTGGAGAAACCTGGGCCACAAGGGTTTTGTACCTAGACACATTGCCCAGCCAGGGGCCTTGTGAAATATGAATGGGTTATAAATGCCAGTTTTCAGTGCCTCCCCCCCGCTTTTTAAAGAAAGCACATCATCTTTGCAAAATTTCTGCTTATATTTCCCCCTCGTCCATGTGGGATGGGGGCGGGGGCGGGGGCTCTCCTGTTTATCTTGCACGATGATAGAGCCCCTTGGAAAGAAGAACGTAACCACTGCATGATTTTTTTTTTTTTGCGCTTGCCTTAGGTAATACATATGTTGTTGCTTTTTTTGTTTCTGATGATGATAATGAATTAAATATTAACACCATGAATATAATTAATAGCATGTAATTTTTTTTCTTTTGCTGTTTTTCCCCTGCTCTTCTCTTCTCCCATTTTTTGTGCTTTTCCTGCTTTTTCTCCGTCCCCTCATGTTCCTTCCGTCTCTTTTCCTCTGCCTGCTCTTCCCTGATTTACCCACAACCCTAACTTTGCATTTTCAAAGGGGGAGATCCTGGTAAGTACCTGCTTAGTGTGGTAGCAAACGTTAGAGACTCTAGTAGTGATGGAGACCCCACCCACCCTGTAACATTCCCTTCCCTTTCCAAGATAACAAAAAAAAAACCCACTAAAAATCGAGCTAACCTGGACATCCCATGCTTCTTTGTAAGTTGACTGAGACACTAACCTGCCTGCCACCCTTGTCGGAGGCCCACCCTTCACCTGATTCCTGGCAGTTTACCTAGTTTGCTATAGGTCAGGGATGGCAAATATCAGCTTACACAACTGTCCCTGCCTCCTGTCACATCCCTGGTCTCAGAAGATTCTGCTCATGCCTCACTGGAGTTCCTCCTTGTCACTGCTGATCTCCTTCCGTCTCCCATGCAGACATCACTCGTTGATCAGAGCTTGTTTTTTATATGTGGATTTCCCCCTCCTGTGCCCATGGCAGGCATGGCTAATGAATCCCACACTCTTTCCCCATCATGTGCCTGTGGCAGACGTTGCTAATCAGTCCTAGCATTTTTCTCTAATAAGCATGCCACCACTCCCTGTTCTGTGGCAGATGTGACTAACTGATCAAGGTTTTCTTTTTTTCTTCCACATGGTACCCCTTCCTTTGCCCATGGCAGGCATGACTAATTGATCAGAGACCTCTTTCCTGGATGCTGCCAATATCCTCCTGCCTCCATAGCAGATAGGACAATTGATGAGGCAGTTCTGTTCTACTTGCCCACTTCCCTTATCCTTTACCTGTGACAGACATCACCAATTGATTCTAGCACACTTTCCTGCCACATCCAGAATTCTAACTGCAGTGTTCTGTGTAGGACCTGCACAGATTGGTGTGGCCCCCCAATATGAATTGTATTTGCCATCCCTGCTGTAGTGAACATCTCTCCCCCTTGTGCGGATCCCTCAGCTGGGCCCAGGCTGGGGCATCAAGAGGGTGTGAGGCCTGGCCCAGCCCAGTGGGGAGCACGCACCGCTCACATTTGAGAGCTGAGCCCATGTCGAGCTGCTCACCTTGAGGTAGCTGGCCTCAGCCCCAGGTCTCCACCTTGGGTAGTACCACCCAGGCCTCCAGCCCTAACAGAGGCTCCTTTTCTCTGGCCACTGGGCAGGCCCTGCTGCTGCCCTCTGGCAGAGATCTTCTGGCAACCCTGGATCTTTCCAGTAGCTGAGCCGATCCTGTGCCAGGCCCTCGTTGCGCCCAGGTCTTGGAAGACGCAGACAGGGCTGAAGTGCGAGCCTGGACGGGTGGGGGGCAATGGTGGGAGGAATAAATTGGTCTGGGGCCCATGGTTCCCACTTCCCTCACATGTTGCCCCCAGTCACCTTTGAACTTGAATGCTTTCCTTCCCCAAACAGGCTAAGCCAGGAGCCTGCTACTCTCCATACCCCAATAGGTTTAGTTGTTCTTTTCCTACGAAATTCCACACCCTGGCCACAAAGCCCAGTCCTGCCATGAGTATGGCCATTGGGCCCTGGGACTCCCAGCCCCGCCCGGGGAGGAGGCCAGCCTAGCCCACCCGTAGACCCCTGCTGTTTGGCGTCTTGCTGCTGCTGGGGCCGGCTTCCCTCCTGTCCCTGCGTACCTGCATGCCTGTCACTGTGCATCCTGGACCACGGTAGCCTGCCTGCCTCTCTGTCTCTGCCACCCCCACCCCACGCCACTTCCTTCGAAGCCCAGTCCCCTTAGGCTGTGCCCCCTGGGCACAAATCTGGCTTTTGGATGAGGAAGCAGCCTTCCTTCTCTCTGGACTCAGCATCTGTGTCTGCCGCCCATCACTTGCAGCTCCCCAGGGTGGGATTTTGTCTCTGACCCCCCTTGGGCTCCCACACAGGCAGCTCTCAGTGGCTTGAGGGGAAGGGCGCCTTCGGGGCTTCTACCAGACCTGACCAGCAGCCCCTGCTCCCCAGCCTCCTGCCCTGAGGCTCGGGTGTGCCCCACCCTGTGGCCCTGAGCCCCGAAGCACAGCCAGGGCCTTCTGCCAGCTCTGACTACTGCTAACCAGGGTGGGGGCAGGTGAGCTCAGCCACCCAGGGGTGGTTGGGGGCCTATGTATCCCCATGGGAAATGGCTGGGCCTGGGAGTGCAGGGGCCTGGACTTGGAGGGATTTCTTCTCTGGGGGAGCACCAACAATGAGTTTCCCTGGTTGTCACTCAGTGACTGAACTGTCTGCTAAATGTTCACTCTATGCCTGGCCCTGGGCTAAGACCGGGCAAGGCACACACACACACCCCCTACTTCCCCCCGCCTCGGTTGAACATAGGACATAGAAACCCACTCAGTGCAGGGTGGGGTGCGCTTGCACAGGTCAGCCTTGGCCTGCGTCTGGAGACCAGTCTTGCCAGTAGCTTGACCAACCATCCTGGTTTTCCCAGGATTGAGTACATTCCCAGAACGCACTCAATTTAACCTTCAGTATTAAAACTAGGCAGTCCTGGGCAAACTGGGATAAGCCAGTCACCCTGTTGCCAGGGAGGATACCATGACCTCATTGGGCTTGCCAGCCTCTGCCCCTTTGCCTGCCAAGCAGCCCATGGGTGGGCAGGTGCCAGAGGTAACTGCCCACTCCTGAGATCTGTCTTGTCCCAGGAAGGGAGACATCTGTACCCTTGGCGTTAACAAGGGCCCTCTCATGCTGTCCGCAGCCTGGGCAGTGACTTGAGCATGGTGCAGTGCTCCCTGGGCACCCTGTCACTGCCTCCACCTTTATGGCTTTCTGAGGCTTGGGGCCCACGTCCAGCCACCAAAGAGAGGCAGGGGCTGCAAACTGGAGGCCCTGTTCAGATTTGACAGGCCTGGGGGCAGGTCAGGGTAGGCAAGGTGGAGCTCCTCCAGAGAGCTGCCCACTAGGGAGGCACTGCGCCCCAGATTCATCCCATGAGGCCCTGTCTCTGGTGCTCCTGCTCCACCCTGCCAGGTGGGCTCAACACCAGCCCTCCCCAGCTGTCCCTGGCCACGGTCAGCCCACCCTCTGCAGCTTGGTTCAGTCTGTCGCTGCCTTGGTCCAGGGGGCCCTGCCGGTGTGTCCTCTGCTTCCTGCTGCCCCAGGGTCCCCAGTCCAGAGTGGTGGGGGCCTCCAGCCCACATGTACTTCCATGGCCCAGGGAGTGTGGGAGTGTGGTCCCCCAGGCTGCCTGCATGTATTTAGCTGTCAGGTGAGTCCCCCGGGCAGGCCTGGGCTCTGACCCCCACTCTAATGATACCTACGGCTAGACAACCCGGTCCGTGGAGCCTCCCAGCTCAGAACCCTGATGTGTCAGTCAGAAAAGTGTGACTGCAGGGCTTGAAGCCACCTTATGGCATGATCCTTGCCCCTGATGTCCCCTTTAGGATCCCTGGGGAGGTCCCTTGGGCTCAAACCTTTGTCCCCAGCCCTTTGGGTGGATGTGTCGCCCACCCCTGTGAGCTGGGCACATTGCACTTCTGCAGGCTGGCCCCCTAAATAGAGAGAAAGAACCACTCCATAGCACAGGCGACTCCTCCAGGCCTCCAGCAACAGTACCTTCCAGAGGGTGTGAGGGGGCCAGGGCATCCCCCAAATAAGTGTAATTCCTTTAATGTCACATTCCAAGTGCCATTGCCTCCCACACAAGCCTGAGAGCATGTTTTGCCTCCTGAGTTAACTCAACCTAACAACCCCAAGTGCAGGGGGGCGCCTGGGGGAACCTGCTTTCCCTATCAGCCCTGGGCCAGTGACTCAGTGTCTGTCTGCTCACCTGCTCGGGCATCCTGCATTGGTTTCCAGCTGGAAATGCTTGGGGCAAGGTGGAGTTGGGTTTTCTTGGCTTGGGGCTGGTGGTGTCTCTGCCGTGGTCCCCAGCTTTCCGCCTTGCTGTGGGGCAAAGTTGCTGGCTGCTGCACTTGGGGGTAGGCGGGGTGGCAGGACGGTGTCCCCCTCTAAGCCGCGCCCCCTGCCCCTCCAGGTTATCCGCAGGGGCTGGCTGACCATCAACAACATCAGCCTGATGAAGGGCGGTTCCAAGGAGTACTGGTTTGTGCTGACAGCCGAGTCACTGTCCTGGTACAAGGACGATGAGGTGAGTGGCTGGCGAGAATGGGTGGGCGCTCCTCACACCCTCTGCCTCTGGGCAGCATTCATTAATTCATTCATTCATTCTTTCTCTCACTCTGACTGCTCGTGCATTTGAGAAAGGTTCTCTGAGCCCACTGTGTGTGCCCAGAGCTGACCATTAGGACCGTAATAGCTAGGGTTGGAGGGCAGTCTGGAAGTGGACCCTAGCCTGCAGTGCCACTGTGAGGGGCCCTTACTGTCATGAGAGGGGCACCACCAAGGGTTTGGGACTCAGGCTCATGGCCAGGTTACTGAGGTGTGTAGGTTCCATTTCCTCCGGACTTGGCCAGGCCCTTAACCTCTCTGGGCCTCAGTTTCCCTGTCTGTAAAGTTGGATAGAATAGTCCCTGCCCTCCATGAGGTGCTCAGCCACGGTGTCTATAGAATGATCCATGCATGCTTGTCTTTATGAGGAGGTAGGGAGGACTTGGCCAGGCCCTTAACCTCTCTGGGCCTCAGTTTCCCTGTCTGTAAAGTTGGATAGAATGGTCCCTGCCCTCCATGAGGTGCTCAGCCACGGTGTCTATAGAATGATCCATGCATGCTTGTCTTTATGAGGAGGTAGGGAGACCTCTGGGACCAGTGGCTATAATAACACGAGAGCAGCGATTGTGATGAATCTGGGGGCAGCCAGCCCTGGGGCACCCTCTGTGGGCAGCATGGCCAGGAACTGCCATCCGCGTCACTCCCCCTTGTGCTGGCCTGGCCTCCTGTCCTGATGGGCCCATTTCCTACGTAGTTCTCTTAACGTAACAATGTAACCATGTAACCACTGTTTGGCAGCTTGGGAGGGAAGCCACTTCTTGCGTGTGACTGTTGCTGCTCTGATGCTCACCAGGTTGGTGTCTGAGGGTGACCAACCAGGGGAGCTGTTTCTGTCCACAGCCAATGCCGTATTAGCTGGCCTATTAATTGGGGTCTGTAACAGAGACCCAAAATGAAGGCACTTACAAAGACGGAAGTCTTGCTTGCTCATGTCTTGGTGAGCTGGGTGGCCCTGTGCTGTGAGGCCATCCAGGGGCTGGCTCCGCCTCTTCTGTGTCACCTTAATAGAGGGCTCCCCCTTGTGGTCCAACATGGCTGCCTGTGCCCTCCACCACGTGGTGTCTAGCAGCCCCAACGAGGCGAGGAAGGCCTTGCTCCGCTCGCAGGCCTCTGACCAGAACCTAGTCACACAGCCATTGCGTGTGCGAACCGCAAGGCCAGCTAAAAATTCTAGCACTATCTAAGAGGGAAGCAGGGATCAGCAGTTTCTGAGCATGAGAGCTGGGGCTCACTGCCCGGAATTTCACTAGCCTCACCCAGATGGCCTCACCCCTTCGTGTTTGCCCACTTACAAAGTCAAGACCGCAGCCAGCCCCTCGAGGGGCAGAGGGAGGAGGGTGCTCATGTTTATGAAGCCCGCGCCCCGTGCCAGGCTCACTGGCTACAAGAGCCCATAGAGGCCACATGTGAAGGACACCCAACCCCCGTCCTCAGTATGTCCTCACCTTCACCTTGCGGATGGCACTGTCGTTGCCCCATTTGTCAGGCGAGAAATCTGAGTAGTGATTTGCCCCATTCCATAGAGCAGGAGAGGATCCCCTGTGTTGTGGGTGCCTCACGTGTGGACATCTGCAGGCATGTGCTCTCTGACTGGAGGGACACCTCAGCCCCATGTCTGGAACACTCCCCCATGGCTCAGGCCAGATGCGGTTACTCCAAGGGAAGGTGTTTTGGGGTGAAGTGTGATCACCTTCCTCCACAGGAGGCCATAGACTGATCCCTGGAATGTTCTTGGAGTCTCAGGAGCCCTGAGCCCCTTGCAGGACCTTGGGGGGTGGGGTGGGGACTGTTCCTAAACCCAGGGTGCTGGGGTCAGCAGAGCCATCATACAAGCATTTCTGGGGTGCCCATGTAACCCTCTAGAACCCCAGATCCAGTGAGCCTCAGAGGGTTGGGAGGTAGAGGGAGGAGGAGGCCTGGCAGGTCTGGGGCCTCCTCCCCCCACGGGCTCCTCAAGGAACCCACGTATCCGGATCTGATCGCTCCTCAAAATGGTGGAGGTTTGGGGGGCGGCATTTTCACCTCTCCTGGCTCTTTCCGTCTGGCGGGCTGAATCTCAGTCTGTTCTGTGGTATGTCAGCTGTCAGGCAAGCTGAAGGCCGAGCCCCTGCCTTTTGACTCAGGGGTGTGAGGATCTATTGGGGTACCCAGACTGGGAGCACCAGGCCTGGGACAGGGATCCCTGGGGGCTCCTGGGCCCAAGCTGTAGCCTGGTGATCTGCTGCCTGGCAGCATGGTAAGTCCAGTTTTAAGAGCTCTTCATCCTAAACTTGGGAGGGGCCCTTTGCCTTTCCCTTGACTGTGGGTTGAAAGCAGGAGCCCCAACCCTCCCTGAGGGCCCCAAACCGGAGGCAGGGGAAACACTGGGCGGAGGGTTGGGCGCCGCGGTAATGAGAACCAGCAGCCCCGTGAAAGGGGCTCTGTGTGTGCCCCAGACACAAAGCAGCCTAACGGTGGCGGGACAGGCATGAAATCTTGTCCCCCCAGTGCCCAAGTGAGGATCCCAGTAGGGACCTTGGAGTCACACGTGGCAGCCACCCCCAAGGGTCAGGCTAACTTAGAAAAGCCTCAGTGAGAGGCGAGACATCAGTATTTTTTTATTTAAACGATAAACAAGAGGAGACATTTACGGCCTCGGGGTAGGGATAGGGGGACAATTTGGCCAGAGTCCCCCAACCCCTCAGCTGGCCTCAGGGCTCCCTCTGCCTTTTCCTGAAGCCTCTTCTGTCCAGGCCCTTCTTTCCTCCAGAATCTTCTGTTTGAGTCTCCACCCCAGTGTGAAACAGGAAGATGACACTCACCTCTGGGTCTGCCCTGCTCTGATGGTGGCAGCAAACTTAGGGGGCCGGTGGGGGGCCCATCCCGATGCGCCGCTTGCCCGAGCCCAGCCTAACCAATGTGCAGACTACTGTACACATTCAGAGCCTCCTGAACAGGTAGTCTGAACACTGGGTTGGCGGGGCCGGCTGTCCATCCTGCAGGCCCCCCAGGCAGCAGCAGGGCCACCATGCCAGGCAAGGAAGCCACCGCTCCTCCTGCAACGATCCACTCCGTCTCTTCTGACGTGGCAAGGCTGGGGCCAGCTCGCATCTGGAGAAAGTTGTGGGTTTTCAGGAAATCCTAAAGAGGGGGTGGGGAGGAGGGTGGGTGTGAGGGCGGGTTTGGGTCCGTGGCCTCTGTGCGCAGGACAAGGTCTCTTTGGGGGTCGGGCTGGGGAGGAGGGGCGCCCGCCTGCCGCCGTGGCTATGCGTGTGTGTGTGTGTGCGCGTGTGTGCGTGCCGGCAGCATCAGGAAGGCAGCCGCTGCGTTCTGGACGGAATCATACTATAAACAGTTCCAGATGTGGCGTCTCGTTTGGAGCCCGAATGGACTGTGACTCAGTTACTTGGCTTGGTGGGCTGACTGGAAGCTTCCTGCCTCGTGACATGATAGGGTGGGGGTAGCAAAGGCCCTTCACAGACTTCCGGGCAGGGGGCAGGAGTTCCTGCAGAGCCCCCCATCCTGGCCCCTTCAAAAGCCCCCAAAGCTCTTCCCCCAGAGGTTGGAGGGGCCCAGGCCCTGCATTCCCTGGCCTTGCCTGGGATGAATAGTACAGCCTGTCTTCTCCATCCTCCCTCTCTGGGGCTCCCATTCTGCAGCCTGAATGGGAGCAGGGGAATTTCTGCCTCCATGGCCACTGGGCCCATCTTCCTGCACCCCTCCCTGTCCCTTCCTTGCCCAGCACCTGGTAGGCTTACCCTGGAGCCACTCACCAGAGCATCAAAAGAAAAGCCCCCATGCCTCATGAGCATCAGCTCTGCGGTGGGCACCAGGTTCAGCACTCTGACACTTCATGTCTGTCCTCATTTGACAGATTGGGAAACTGAGGCTCAAAGGGTTGAAGTGACTAGCCCAAAAGCACATGGCCGGGAAGGGGCAGAGCTAGCGTTCCATCACTGGGCTGCTGTAGGCTCCGTTCTGGGGCCTTCTTGCAGCACAGTGACAGGATGTGAGAACCTGACTTTGGGTCACAGGGACCTGGCTTCTGAAGTCCCCCTGTGGCCCATGCTGCCCATTGTGTGGCCCTAGGCAGCCATCTTCCCTCTCTGAGCACAGTGTCAGATTGGAGAGCGGGATTACGTGAGCTGATGGATGAGCAGTGCTTGGCGCTCCTCACCGAGAGCTGCTCTTACTATTGTTGTGTGGGTCACGTGGGCATGCAAGTCAGTGTCCCTGACTCTGGTTTCCTGATGTAGAAAAGCTGGTTCATGCCACACACGCGCATACACTCAGAAAGACTAAGGACCCATGGTGATGCCCCTGAAAGGACCCAGCTCCATGTTGGGCGCACAGCAACTGCTTAGCCAATGTCACTGGGTGAGCCCAAGGCTCCGGGGTGCCACCACCAGCTCCATGACACCCCTGGCTGAAGGGAGCACTGTCTCTGAGCTCCCTCCCCAGAAGCGGAGGGAACTGCCATGCCCCACACTTGGTTGGCACTTCCTGAATGGGGCCACCCTTAGAATGTGAGTGACACTTCTGTAGCACAGGGGCCCTGGCATCAGTACCCCGGCTCTGGGATCATCTGAAGTGACTGAGGTTTAAATTCCAGCCGCTCCCCTGCTCCTTCCTGCCTCAGTCTTCCTCGGTAAAATGGGGTCACAGTGGCGACTCACTCCTAGGCTCATTGTGAAAACAGCCCAGTTCACGGTTCTACTCGCTCCGCCTGGACAGAAGGAGCGGTGTGTTCTGGGAGGAGTCAGAGCTACTGATCTGAGCATCCCCTGTGTCAGTAGTGAACAAAGACAGGAGTCCCTGCCCCCAGACCAATGAGTCAGTCCAGGTGACAGGCAGTCACCTAGGTCAATAAGGGCACGATATGTGATGTGTTATGTTATGGGGGGTGGCCACCAAGGGGAATGGGGGAGAGAAAGTGCAGAATAGGGGGAGGGCAGGTGTGTCCCCTCTGCACAAAGACCTGAAGGAGACATGGAGAGAGTCATGTTCCAGACTGAGGCCCCAGTCATGCAAAGGCCCTGGGGTGGGAATGCTCCTGGGATGTTCAGGGAGTGTCAAGGAGGATGTGTGAGGAAGGAAGTGCAGTGGCACATGAGTTGATCCGTGTAAAGCGGCCAGCACAGAAACACCAGGTGTTGGCAGTGGCCCTTGCTGCATGTGCCGGCCCAGATCACCCTTGAGTTGTTACTTAGTCCACGGTGTCTTCTCCCTTCTTTCCTTTTTTGGGGCAGCTGGCCAGTGTGGGGATCTGAATCCTTGACCTTGGTGTTGTCAGCACCCGCCTCTACCAGCTGAGCTAACCGGCCAGCCCTCTTCCCCTTCTGCCCACAGGAGAAAGAGAAAAAGTACATGCTGCCCTTGGACAACCTCAAAATCCGCGACGTGGAGAAGGGCTTCATGTCCAACAAGCACGTCTTCGCCATCTTCAACACGGAGCAGAGGTGAGGGGCCCACAGGGGCTTTGGCAGGGCTTGGGGTCAAGACCAATGGCCTTGTTCACAGACATTCCACAGCGTTCAGTGAGCACTTGCTGTCAATGGGCCCTGCCCTGGGCTATCACATTCTAGAAAGGGAATGGAGTGAGAAACAGAAAAATGCCATGGGTGCTTCTGATGCTGGGTCAGGGAAGACTGAATAGAGAACAGGGACGAAGTGTGGGTCCAAGTGAGGTGGGAGCCTGGAGGGTTCCTGAGCAGAGGAGGGATGGGATCTGGCTCAGGTGTGCACAGACACCCTCTGGCGGCTGTGGGGGGAACAGAACAGGAGCTGGGGTAGACCGAGGCAGAGGCGACTGGGCTGGGCCAGGTGGGAGGTGATGGGATCAGACCTGGGTGGGGCCAAGGGCATTGAAGACGGGGTGGGGGGGACGATGCAGGTAGAGTCAGACAGACCTGAACCCAATCCTCCTGGCAGATGTGGAGGTAAGAGAAAGGTATCGATGGTGACCCTGAGGATTTGAGCCTGAGCAGCAGGGTCCAAGCTGCTGCCGTTGGCTGAGATGGGGAAAGCAGAGACATTGAGGCATCCACTGCGTGTCAGCAGAGAGCAAAACAGATGGGAGTGCCTGCCCTCAGGCCTGGGACAGTCCTCGGTCTTCCTCAGCACATGGCTTCCTCCTCTTTGTCCAAGGTGGCTGCTCATCCTCCAGCCATCATGACGTTTCAGGCAGTGGGAAGGAGGAGGAGGAGCAACGAGGGCATACCCTGCTCTTCATGACTCCTTCCAGAAGTCTCTCAGGGCAGCCAGTCACTGACCTCTGGTTGGCCAGAGCTCCCTTATGGGCCCGGACCTAACCACAAGCCGAGGTCTCACTTGAAGGCTTTGGGAGCAGCGTGGCGTGTGGGCCATACCTGTGTGTGGGACAGGACAGTATGTGTGGTGTGTTGCGTGGGGCCTGGCCTGTAGAACACTGTCCATGAACACTAGTTAGCCTCCATCCTGTTTCTCTTCCAGTCTTGAGGATGGGCCCAACATTTCACAAGGCTTTGCCAGGAGTCTTGGTCCTGTCCCTGAACAGCTCCCCATCCCCACCTGCCCCGCAGGAATCACTGCACATTCTAGACCTCTGATGTGCAATGCAGTACCTACTGGACCCATGTAGCTATTTAAATGTAAATTAATTGAAGTGAAATAAAATTTGAAATTCTCTTTCTCAGTCACCCTGGCCCTGTTCCTAGTGCTCAGAAGCCACTGTGGCTTGGGGCTACCGTGCCGGACAGTGCAGGTAGAGGACATTTCTGCCATCACAGAAAGTTCTGATGGACAGCACCACTCCAGTCTTCTCTGCAAACACCTTGATGGGAGCTCCCCAACCAGGGCAGGGGGTCGTGGGACACATGCCCACCTCTAGGGCTTGTTGGCAATCTTTGGCCTTTACAGAAGATCACAAAAGAGGGGGGATGAATGGGCAGTTTCTAGAACAGGAGAGGAGTCAGCTGAGCCAACAAAAACAAAAACTAGCAGATGCTACTTCGTGCAGACACTCAGAGTTTGTGCCCTGTGCTTGGCACTGTTTTGTATGCTGTAGGCACTAACTCACAGTGACCCCTCAGCACGAGTGGGTAAAAGTGCTGGTACCATTCTGGGGCCTCCGTCGTGAGTGCCTGGGTCAGGTTTGGGTCCCTGGTCAGTCCAACAGACCCCAGAGCCCATGCCCCTCGGCAATTGGCCAGGTCTATAGGCAAGGTCAAGTGCATGCCCCTTCCTCCCACCGCAGGAACGTCTACAAGGACCTGCGGCAGATCGAGCTGGCCTGTGACTCCCAGGAGGATGTGGACAGCTGGAAGGCTTCATTCCTCCGAGCTGGGGTCTACCCCGAGAAGGACCAGGTGAGGAGCTTCCCTGCTCAGCTGGCACTCTTGGGCTGAGCAGACCTCACCTGGGAGAGAAAGGAGAGCCGGCTTCCCATGGTCATTTCTGGGCCGCGTTTGCCAGGACTCTCTGAAGGTACATAACCAACACCCACTTGAGCAAGCAAAGCAGAAGGGTGGGGGTGGGCTCATCAGTTCCCAGAAAGTTCTCCACCTGAAGCCAAGGACAGAAACACACATGGACTGAGATCCTGTCTGCTTTGTTCTTCTCTCGTCATGTTCCATCCTTGAGGTGGAGTGAACATGCCAATCCACGGACCCCAAATGAACATGTTCCAATCCACAGGTGAGAGAATCCAACCTGGCTTACATCAGGGTCACCTCAGGTCTGGGCAGCTCTGGCCAGGAGTAGGCAGGGCCCACATGGTGCCTATAGGACTGTCAGGGGCTAGCCCCAGAAGGTCAGTTGTCACTGCACAGGGCAAGCAGTTCCCAGAGGAGAAGGGCCTGCCACACTCGCCTCAGGCCGCAGTCATCCCTCACCGCCTCCCCTCCCCGCCTGCAGGCAGAAAACGAGGACGGGGCCCAGGAGAACACCTTCTCCATGGACCCGCAGCTGGAGCGGCAGGTGGAGACCATTCGCAACCTGGTCGACTCGTACGTGGCCATCATCAACAAGTCCATCCGCGACCTCATGCCAAAGACCATCATGCACCTCATGATCAACAACGTGAGTGTGAAATTAAAACCGAGAATGAGTCTGACTTGCTGTGCTTTTTGGGAAATCAGAAGGTGCAGGCCACCATGTCTGGAGGAGTCGGGGGATGTGCATGTTTCAGCCCAGCACTAGCCACTGAGAAAAGATCTATAAACAGGGTTTGGTTTGTGTTATGATGGTCAAAGACAGAAACCTGTGTTTCTCTCACAAATATACTTGCTCACATGCAAAATGAGCATGTACATGGTTATTCTTTTCAGCAATGTTTTATAGTAGCCAAAGATAAGAAATAACTATCCACTTAGTAAATATTCATATCTATTATAATATAAAAAAATCATGAGGACGCTCTCCAGGTCTATAACATTCATTATTAAGTGGAAAAAGTATGGAGCAGAACAAAATATATAGGAAGTCTCCATGTGTGTACCAAGTGGGGGATGGGGGCCAGAAAAAAAGAAAGTGAAGAAAAGGGCTAGCTAGTGAGCTCTCAGTTGCTTAGAGCATGGTTGGTGCTGACAACACCAAGGTCCAAGGTTCAGATCTCCATACCAGTCAGCTACAAAAAAAAAAAAAAAATAGGGAAAATATATACATGTGTATGTTTGTATAAAATATATACATAGAAATCTCTGGAAGTTTATTTAAGACCTGGTAAGAACACCTTACCAGGAAGGAAGTTCAGGGGCTTGGTAGGCCAGCATGTAAGGAGGACGTTTCACTGTACCCTTTTTGTACCTTTAGTTTATACATGTTGAATATCCTTATCCAAAATACTTGGGACTAAAGGAGTGTTTTGGATTGCAGATTTTTCAGATTTTGAAATATTTGCATAATACATGTTAGTCCAAACATACCTAATCCAAAATGGTGCTCAAAAAGTTTCAGATTCTGGGCCGGCCCGGTGGCGCACTGGATAGTGCGCCGCTTGGGAAGCGCGGCGGCACTCCCGCCCGAGGGTTCGGATCCCACATACAGACCGGTTCCCGCTCACTGGCTGAGCGAGGCGCGGGAGCAACACCGAGGGTTGCG